TGGCAAGACTTGTTTATATTTCACCCTTTTAATATAATGAATAGAGCCCTGTATGTCTTGTTTATATAATAAATGTAGGCAATGTCTTAACCTTGCAGAATTGGGACAATTACCTCATTTCAGTCGTGTAAATCTTTTTTCCTGATTTCTGATTTTCATCTATAATGTAACTTAGGTGATAAGAATGAGGAAAAAGAGAAGGAGATCAAGCAGGAATACAGCCAAACATGTGACTGGATCAAGAAACGCTTGGGTGAAAAGGTTGCTCGAGTTGATATATCAAACCGTCTCAGCTCATCACCATGTGTTCTAGTTGCAGCTAAGTTTGGTTGGTCTGCGAACATGGAAAGGTTAGTCTCTATCATGTTGACCTTTCTAGCACATAATTCTTGTAACTTAAAGTTCTTAATAGTATTGTTGTGTTAACAGGTTGATGAGAGCGCAATCTATGGGTGACATGTCATCTCTGGATTTCATGCGTTCTAGGAAAGTTTTTGAAATCAACCCAGAGCATGAGATCATCAAGGGCTTGAATGTAAGTGTTCGGTCTGCTGTTTGCACTTCGCGCTTGTAATTTCCTGATAGTCCTTATGGGTTCCTTTTTCCTCCTCAATGCAGGCTGCCTGCAGAGCCAACCCTGATGACCCAGAAGCTCTAAAGGCTGTAGATATCCTGTTTGAAACTTCTATGATCTCTAGTGGCTTTACAGTAAGTACACCTGATTGCCTTCTTTTCCATCAAATAACCCTGGTCCATTTGATATGATAGGATATTCCGCCTTACCGTTGTGCATGTTTTCTATACTGAATGTCGTAATCTGTTTAAATTTCATCAATTTGTGTCATCTCATTTGTGGTATCATATTGCAGCCTGACAACCCTGCCGAGCTAAGTGGGAAGATATATGAGATGATGAGCACAGCTATGGCCAGCAAGTGGGCCTCGCACGCTCAACCCGCTGAGATGAACCTGCAGCGAGACTCACCTGTCAGCTCTGAGCCGATTGAAGCCGAGGTGATTGAGCCGGAGTTGGTGGACGATAGCCAGAAGAAATAAGGGAATCGTCGAGTTTTCCCTCAAGTTCTATAAACCTTAGGTTCTTTTTCGGATCCATTTCATACGATTATGCCGTCCTCCCAGAATATTGTAGCTTAATTTTGTTGCCGAAACGCTGAGATTTTTTTTTTTCAGTTTGGTTGAGCGGCCAGTGCAATGAGCTGTGTGTTAAACCAATAGGATTGTGTTATGTTAGGAATAATGGTTTCTTTGCTAGGAACAATTACTTTGAAACAATCCTTTGCTCTCCAATTTTTCCATTGCTCACTTATCTCCTGCGCAAGTAAAACATGATCAAGTATTAGTATAAAATTCAAGCAATATTCGTCCTGCTCTAAATTTCTTATTGGTATATATTGCTTGAATTTCTATTAAGTAATGCAAGGAATCGCCTCTTAAAATGATTTATGGTCAGATTTGTTTTTTCTCTACTTTGTCTCTTAGTGTATTGTCATATTGCTCTTCTAGCATTGACATTGGTCATCAAAGAAAGACACTTGTAGACTGTAGTAAAGATATTCCAATCCAGTATGTACTGTCCATTTTAAACGTAGTCATTAGACTTTTGATCGTTTTGTTTTTTTTTTCTAACTTTGATCATTTGTCTTATTTGAAATTTGTTTATGATTAGTATTTTTATTAAAATTAAATGATAAAACATGAATAGCACTTTAGCGTGACTTATTTTTATTTTTTAAAAAAATTTCAAATATTAGTATTTTTATTAAAATTAAATAATAAAATATAAATATAAATAGTACTTTAAGCGTGACTTATATTTTTCTTTAATTCTAAAAAAATTTAAATAAGACGGGAAATTAAAATTGGATATGAAAACTTATGGCCGAGCTTAAAATGAAACGGAGGGAGTATCTGCATAGGACCTATAGATGTTCTACAGATGTTTATTGTCATATAACCAGCAAAACATTCATTAAATTGAGTGATCATCTACATTCATCATGTATTAAAAAACATCTTTATTTAAGAAGCCAAACTCACCTGAGTTGGCCTGGTTTGATAGGCTTGCTCAATTTGTTGCCCAAATCAACCGTATCAAAATAATTTTAGTGCGATGTTTCTCTTGATATAAATACAAGTCTATAGTCTTAGAAGACAATAGTCAGAAAAAGAAAAAGACAGTCGCCCCAAGTGTCTACGACTGGTCCTGCTATTAAAACAGAACAAGCACAAAACATCCCTAAAAAATGGTCTTCTAAGCGATGCCTCCAAGGAGGAAATGACGCTAGCGCGCCGCCAAGGGGAGAATCAGGATGTGGTTTTCACCTAAAGAAACCAATGAGAGATAAGAGAAAATGTGGCAATGCCCCAAGGGGAAAGTGGCGCCTCATCTGTGACGGCCTATAGTTTAGGCCCGATTGAGATGAGAGTCATCCGTGACGGGCTATAATTTAGGTCCGATTGAGGTGAAAGTCATCCGTGACGGCCTATAGTTTAGGCCCGTTAGAGATGAGAGTCATCCGTGACGAGCTATAGTGTTGGCCCGATTGAGATGTGTGTCATCTGTGACGGCCGGATGCCCGATTGAGATATTTTACCATATTAGTGACCTTTGCTCTGTGACGTGGGCCCTACCCGATAGAGATGAGGCTTGTCGCCCGTTACAGATGACCGAACCCATGCTAGTGGCTCAATCTTTCTCTAAACTTGAAATTGTACCGGCGTGAACGTAGCCGCCAACTCCCGCGCCAATGGTTACATATCCGTTTCAGCAGAAACCACTAGCTAATCCCCTTTAATGCACAGCTACCGCGTCGACGCCTCATTGCTGGCCAGCCTTCAGGGTAGGATCTCAACCTCCGGCGCACTCCAATTCGATCCACATAGTTGGGTTGGAGAGGGATAGGGTGTGAGAGAAGTAGGGCTGGATGTCGAGCTGGCTCGGCTCGGCTCGGCTTGGTCTGGCTCGTTAGGATAACGAGCTAGCTCGGCTTGGCTCGTTATCCTAACGAGCTAGAAACCCAGCTCGGCTCAGCTCGTTTGAAAGCTCGAGCCAGCTCGTTAGGCTCGTGAGCTTTGGGGGCAGCCGACGACCATGGAGGCACGGAAGCAACTCAACCTCGCCGGCACCTTGATAGCTTGCCGGCGACCACGGGGAGGAGCTTGACGGCAGAGGAAACGAGCTTGAGCTCGCCGACGACCACGTGGAGGAGCTTGACAGCGGAGGAAACGAGCTTGAGCTCGCCGGCGACCACAGGGAGGAACTTGGTGGCAGAGGGGATGAGCTCGAGCTCGCCGGCGACCACGGGGAGGAACTTGGCGGTGGAGGGACGAGCTCGAGCTCGCCGGCGACCACGGGGAGGAGGGCGATGGAGGAGACGAGCTCGAGCTTGCCGGCGGCGTTAGGCACAGGGGGAGGGACGGAGAGCGGCGGCGGCGCGTGGGACGAGCTCGAGCTCGAGCTCGCCGATGGAGTCAGGCGTGGGGGCAAGGAGAGGCGAAGAGCGGCGGGCCGACGGCGTCGGGCGCTGGGGTTGGGTAGCGGCATCGGTCACTGGGGTGGAGGCGCAGAGCGGTGGTGCTGGGGTGGGGGAGACGAGGAGCTCAGCCGCCACCACCAGGGAAGGGGGAAGGGAAGCTAGGGTTTTGGTTTTTGGTCTATTGGGCCTTCTAAATAAATGGGCCTATGGGCTTTGTGGCCTAGCAGCCTGGCTCGTTAAGGCTCACGAGCAGCTCGCGAGCCAGCTCGAGCTGGCTCGTTATCTCTAACGAGCTAAACTTCCAGCTCGGCTCGTTAGGAAAATCAAACGAGCCGAGCTTGTCACGAGCCGAGCGAGCTAACGAGCCACGAGCTTCTCGTGAACCCCTAGAGAGAAGAATGGATCCCCTCTCCCCCGCATTCACTCGTCCAACGTGTCCATCTTGTTGCGGCAAGCTGCCGCCGCAAAAGGACTGACTCCTGAAAATAAGCTTGTCGCAGCCTTCAAAGCCTACATCATGGCGCTACCGTCGTTGCCGCCTCAACCAGGCTGTCCGTGTTCGAACGGGCTGCCTGGCCGTGTCGCCGTCGCCTTCGTCCTTCCACCGCGACAGCCTCCTCACCGCTGTGCCCTCCCACCATGGCAGGCTCGCCGGCATACCGTTTCCACGCCGTGCTCACCTGCCTCCCGCCGTCGAGATCACCCACGCCTGCTGTCGCTCGCCACGACTCCTCCCTCTGGCCGACTACTGCCGTCGCCCACACCGGCCTCTTGCCGCTAGTTGTGCTGGCCGGCTGCTGCCATCACCTATGTAGACCCCTGCCACCAACCGTGCTAGCCACCACAGCCATCGCCCGTTCTTCCCGCCGGCCTATCGTATTACCGAAATTTGATAGTGTTGGTTTTGTTTGGACTTATGCTTTTATCAATTTTTGATAGAGTTTTAAGATTGAACTTTTAGAAATAGAAAAATTTAATAAGGTAGCAATGATTAAAGTGTGTTTAGTTTGTTGTCTGACTAAAACTTGGTAAGGTTAAAAGTATCAACAAACTAAGGTTAAAATGTGTTTGATGTTTGGGTTCTATATTGCCACGCTCGAGATTTGATTCAAACACGCGGTTAATCCACATTATTTTCAAACGGACCATTCGAACATCGGATTATCGTACGAGCAATGAAAAAAAAATTTCAAGCCCTTTGCAGAATTCTCAAAAAAAAAAAACCCTTTGCAGAAAAAAAAGAAAAAGAAAAACCCATCCAATCCAACGAACAGTAGTACATCCTCGGAGACGGAGTCGTGACGGTCAAATCTGCAAAAGCGAAAGCCGCCCACTGCAACAAGTCCGCAACCACCAATGCCCCACCCGTGGGCCCAGCCATCCATCCATTCCGCGTTTTCCCCGCCCACCGGTCAAACCGGTCACCCTCCCCACTACAGCCGGTCACCCCACTCTCCCCCACTTGATAATAATAATTACTCCGTAATTAAATAATTTCGTTTTGGAGCTCGACCTGGACTCCATTACTCGCAGAAAAGTCAAATCCAATCAAATCAAAATCCAACCCAACTGCGCCGAGGAGGACGGACCAACTCCGGCTACTCCCCGCCGCCGCCGCCGCCGCCGCCGTCGGCAGGAGGAGGAGGAGCTAGGTCGCCGCCCCGCCCCACATCGAGGTGAGCTTCTTCTGCCAAAGCTCTCTCCGACGAGGTCTCCGCCCGACGGATGGGGTTGGAATGGATCCGGCTCGTCGGCGAGCGAGCGAGCGAGATTCGTGATTCGATGAGCGATTGATGCCGCCTACTTTTGCAGGATTAGGGTTTGCTTTGTGTTTGCCCGACGCGAGGAGGATGGGGACCTCATCGGGAGCCAACTTCCACCAGCAGCAACCGCCCCCGCCGACGTCCTCCGCCGCGGCCGCGGCAGGAGCAGCGGCGGTGGCGCAGGGGATGCTGCCGCCGCGGAGGCCCACGGGGCTGCAGACCTCGCTGTCGCTAGCCTCCTCGGAGCAGGTCGGCTCGCCGGAGATGCAGGAGCCGGGTTCGAATTCCGACCAGGGGCACGACTCCGCCACCGAGAGCGCTAGCTCCAGGGAGACGTGGCCCGCCGAGCCCAACCACGGTAGTGCGGCCGCCGTCGTGGCCGCCTCCACCGCCGCTAGCGGCGGCGGTGGTGTTGTTGGTGGAATTGGTGTTGGTGTGAGGATCGTGGACAAGGAGAAGGAGGTGGGGAATGGTATCCCCAAGCTGCAGGTGATCCGCGGGTCATCCCGCCTTGATCGGATGTCGCTGCGGGAGGTTGCCCGGGAGAGGGTCGATCTAGTTGCTGAGAAAATGAAGGTGATGCCGGAGGAGCACTTGGAGGACATGAAGAACGAGCTCAGGTCGATTCTGGAGGGCACGGGTGGTTCTCACCATATCGAGGAGTTCCTGTATCTCCAGAAGTTTGTGCAGAGTAGGGGCGATCTCACCCAGACCATGCTCTCGATGGCGCATCATGTGCAGCTCGAGATCCTCGTCGCGATCAAGACTGGAATCCAGGCGTTCTTGCACCCCAGCGTTACCATTCCTCAGAACCGCCTGGTGGAGGTCTTCTTGTACAAGAGGTGCCGGAACATCGCTTGCCAGAGTGCCCTCCCTGCGGAGGAGTGTAGATGCAATGTTTGTTCTAACAGGAATGGGTTCTGTAACCTCTGCATGTGTGTGATCTGCAACAAGTTTGATTTCGAGGTCAACACATGCCGCTGGATTGGGTGTGATTTCTGCTCTCACTGGACTCACACGGACTGCGCGATTCGTGATGGCCAGATTGGGATGGGTCAATCCATTAAGAGTGGTACTGGTCATGCTGAAATGCTTTTTAGGTGCCAGGCTTGCCAGAAAACATCGGAGCTGTTAGGTTGGGTTAAGGATGTCTTCCAACAATGTGCTCCTGGTTGGGACAGGGATGCTTTGTTACGTGAGCTTGAGTTTGTCTGCAAGATATTCCGTTTAAGTGAAGACTCAAAAGGGAGGAAGTTGTTCAGGAAATGTGCAGATCTGATTGAAAGGTTACGGAATAGCCCCGCGGATGCTATCAATCCTCGGATGATACTGCAGGTGCTCCAAGGTATGAATATTATCCTTAACTGAGACTTGCATTAGCACTTGATTTGCTGGTATCCTATTAGCATGTATCTGCTTCTTCATTTACTAAATTCTCCATATAAGCCTTCTTAATTCTGTATATTGATTAGTGGTACTGTACACATGTATTATTGTAGGCTTCTATTACCACCCTCTTAATTCAGTTGAAAGCTTATACATTCCTGTGATATAGGTGGTCAGCAAAATGTATTTAGCTATTCAAATTATACAGCAATATGTGTCCACCCTTGTTTGCAGATCTATTGCTCTACATTACAAGAGCATGTATTCTGAGGGTCTGATTGTTATTTGCTTCCTGATTTTGTTTTCACACTTACATGTGCTTGTTTATCAAAATAAACTACCTTGGTCTGGTTATTGTTGCTACCTTGCTGGGGCTAATTTCTTATAATCTTATTTGTGTCTTTTGTGTGATTAATCCCTTTGTAAACGATTCAGAACAACGTATTCATATGTATGCTAGCACTCAGAATGAGTGTTGACACCATGTAGGCTGGCCTAGTTCTATTTAATATTATTTTCCCCTCGAGCCTGTTATGGCCATGACTCACGAAATTGTTTACTGCAAATATCCAGGCAAACAGCCCACTGTAAAATCCTGAACTATGTTCTGTATTGTTTAGAATGCACGTATGCTTCAGATTTGTGTCTGTACTAAGTCAACCTGCACTCCAAGTTGATTGTAAAGCTATTTATTATGCCATTGATGTGGGGCTGGAATTTGGAGCACATTTATCTTGTGGTTGAATGATGACAGAAAGAACTAGTTGTTGCATTTAGAATTCTTCAAGTTCATTGCCATGGGATGTTGGGAAACTGTGGGTATTAGTTGCTTGTTGAACTCCTATGTGAAATGCGTGTTTTGGCCAAGCACTTTATGGATCAATACATGCCTTTTGCTCTTGCTCCACACCTAGAATCCTATATTGCACAGTTCTTGTTACTTGGTATTCTAAATTTTTATGTGCATCACTGATTTTGGTTTCTTAGATTTGATTCATTAACACTGAACTATGCTTACGTTTTGACAGAGCTCGAGTTGGATTCCCCCAAGAGCACAGAAAATGAAGAAATAGGGCGCTTGATCACTCCTCAGGAGGCCTGTAATCGTATTGCAGAGGTTGTCCATGAAGCCGTTAAAAAGATGGAGCTTGTTGCTGAAGAGAAAATGCGACTCTACAAAAAGGCTCGCATTGCTGTGGAGGCCTGTGACCGGGAGCTTGACGAGAAGGCCAGAGAGCTTCAGGAGCTGAAGGCCGAGAGGCTGCGCAAGAAGCAGCAGGTGGATGAGCTAGAGAGCATTGTCCGGTTGAAGCAGGCCGAGGCCGAGATGTTCCAGCTGAAGGCAAACGAGGCCCGTCAGGAGGCTGACAGGCTCCAGAGCATCGCGCTTGCCAAATCTGAGAGGGCCGAGCAGGACTACGCCAGCCTATACCTGAAGCGCCGCCTGGAGGAAGCTGAAGCAGAGAAGCAGTTCCTCTTCGAGAAAATAAAGTACCAGGAGACCCAGAGGCCCATGCAGGCGAGCGGCAGCGGCGCCGGCGATTCATCGCAGACGCCCATGCTCTCCAAGATTCACGACCTCCTCAAGAACGTCCGCAGCATACCGCCGAAGACGGAGGGGCATCAATGAAAACAAAGAGCAGCAGAGCTGCATACGATTCAGGTTGGTGAATCTTAGGTGTCCTTGTGCTGATGTACTCCTACGCTGATTTCCTTCGGTGTAAATTGTTAGCAAAAGTCGTTGTAACAATATTATTGGAGCTAACGGTGTGCTATCGTAGGATCCAATATATACTTAGCTTCGGTGTTTGCAGTTGAGCATGGATGAGAAATAGCTGAAGCACCCTGTACTCTGTAATAGCCAAAAAAAGAACTTCTATCATGTATGACCATTTCTGACATTGTTAGATCGAATAATTTGTATAATTTGTGTTGTAACTTCTGTACGTAACCCTGTCATTTACTATTTGGTTAAATGTGAAATTGTGAATCTTCATGAGGAGACATACTTCTGGAAAAGCCTGCGTGATCCAAGAGAAGTGTCAGTCTGTACCACACTGCACTGGCAACTTCCATGGCTGGGCTGTGTTTAGTTCACACTAAAGTTTGGTTGAAATTGGTACGATGTGATAGAAAAGTTATGTGTGTATGAAAGATTTGATGCGATGGAAAGTTGGAAGTTTAAAAAAAAACTTTGGAACTAAACAGGGCATGGTCCTTAGGGGGTGTTTGGGAACTAGGGACTAAACTTTAGTCCCTCTCACAAAAGCATAAGTCAGGGACTAAAGTTTAGCCTCTCTCTCCCAAACACTCTCTTAAATGGCTGGTACAAGGAGAGTAGCATCCACCATACATACAATCCTGGAAATGTGAATGAAGCTAAACTTGTGAGATTTGTCTCTTCTTCTTGGTGGGCATGAATGTGATCATGTGATGATGACCCACATGGCTTTTGTGCAAATGTGAAACCTAGAATTGTGTTCTGCCCCCATATTCCTACCCTTGTGACACCTAATATTCCACTATCTCAGCCATGCTCCTCTGCCTCTCATTACTCCCTTTTTGACAACACTCACCAGTTTTCTGCTGATGATTGATAGTATATTGACAAGTTCTATATTGTTTTGAAATTCAGGGACTGAAATTGATCTTTTTTAGGGGACAAATTGAAAACAAACAAATTCAGGGACTGAAATTGATTTTTTTTTCAAGAGTTAACAAAACAAATGGAACCATATCAACAGATCAAATATAGATTTGCCATTCTACAAATTAATCAGCTGTTTCTGGATGAATCATTTTGTGGCACATGTCAAGCAAGCACTACTAGATCTATGCGTCATTTCCACTTTGGCATGCCCAAAATTTTTCTGATGTATACGGACATACATTTGAAATATTAAATGTAGTATAATAACAAAACAAATTACATAATCCACTGGTAAACTGCGAAGTGAATTTATTAAGACTAATTAATCTATCATTAGCAAATATTTACTGTAGCATTATATTATCAAATCATGACGTAATTAGGCTCAAAAGATTCATCTCGCAATTTACATGTAAATTATGCAATTGATTTTTTTCGTCCATATTTAATATTTTATACATGTATCCAAATATTTGATGTGACGGAATTTTTAGAAGTTTAAAGGTGACTAAACACAGCCAGTCCAAAGATGTAGGGCATATGGCAATGACACGTCGCCCACGCATCAATGTGACATTAATCACATTATCGCCTTGTTTTGAGCGTGCCCTAGTGCTCCTACTCCTATTGCCCTTTCAATCTCTCTTCTGCAAACGCACGCATTCGCTAGCTGCATTTAACACAAACCTAGGAGAGTTAGTAGCTCAAAGCTAGCATCATGCAGTGCAGGGCACGTCTTGGCAAAGCATGCGAGCACGCGACACCTCTTACTCGTGAGTAAATTTACTCTTTTTTTTTGCGAAATTCAATGTGATGACACGTTGGATCAGCCATTAAATTCTAATCATAATCGCAGGATCAGCGCGAAATCTGAAGGCGACATGATCGCACGAAGGTTCTCGTGCAGGGGATTTCCTGTGCACCTGTTTCAGTTGCTTACTTTAGAAGATAAATTTCGGCCGAATAGGGCTTCGGTAAATCGACATTGGATGCAATTTTTAACTTGTTTTTGCCTTTTGAGGTTTATGTTCTTGTTAATTTGTCCTTGATGAGGCACTATTTTTTTTCTATAATAAATTATTCACCGGATTATTTTCTATGCTTCGAAAACTACGTTCTCTTAAAAAACTTTCTTCTACTTTATTGCTATTAGATCACTTGACTTGAGCTATTTATTTAGTTTATTTCTTATAAATTATATAACATTCCTATAATCAAGCAGATAATTTATGCAACAATACAATCAAAAATCTAAATCAAACAAAGGCAGCATTTCTTATATGTCGATGCGATTGATAAAAACCCTACTCTTATACTACATTCGTTCCAAAATAATTTCATTTTTAGAACGAAGGAAGTACCTTTTATTATTTTATTTTTTTGAAAATAAGGTTTTATGTTTCGAGTACTAGGCACTAATAATAAGCATGCTGCTTGTAGTTAAAATTCATGCAACTTGAATAGCAAATCCAGACATCTAAAAAAAGCTATTCCTTCTAGAGATAAAGCATAATATACAAACATATGTGGCCTCATCCTTTCGCTTATATTTATACCTATCAGCTAAAAATTAAATTTTCAACCTTAAGCTTGAAGCTGATTTTAGGTTTTTTCATCAAAGTATAAAAATTTTATTTACAAATTACTTTTCGTTTGCAAATATATCGTTTTACTTATTCCACGAAAAAACCAAGCTATGGGGCCAGATGTAGTTTGTTGGGAGGGCCATGGTGTGAAGCCATTTTCCACCAAATTAAAGCTGGTCTTGGCGTGCACCTGTAAAATATACTATTGCTCACTTGTTGGGAAAGAACACTTTCTAGTGATGATGGCAATAATAACTAGATGAATTAAAAAAAAAGAGGATGCAAGAAAGCTACAGGCACTGCCCACAGATCCCACATTCCCACTACTGCATGCTTAGTTGATTACTCTCTCCATTCCATTTTAAGTTTTTATATACAACGTTTAACCGTCTTATTTAAAAAAATTATAAAATAATTAAAAATAAGACACGTCTAAAATAATATTTATATTTTATTATCTAATAAAAATACTAATCATAATTTTTTAAATAAAATAAATGGTTAAACATTGAACACAAAAATTTATGGCTGTAATTAAAAATGATAAAATGGAGGGGGGGGGGAGTACTATTTTTTCCACTATAAAATGGCCCATCGATGGCGCCATCTTATCGCTCATGTCGACGACAACGCAACTGAACAACCTCGCCGGTGAGCAGCTAAAGCTAAGCTGAGGTTAGCCATGGCGGCGGCGATGGGGTTGGAGAGGAAGGCGAAGGTGGCGGAGGTGGCGCTGCGGTGCGCGGTGTGCGCCCTGGCGGCGCTGGCGGCGGCGCTGGTGGGCACGGGAAGCCAGACGAGGACCTTCTTCTCGCTGGAGAAGAAGGCCAGGTTCACGGACATGAAGGCACTCGTCCTCCTCGTCGCCGCCCACGGCGCCGCCGCCGTGTACAGCCTGCTCCAGCTGGCGCGGTGCGCCGCGGCCGCGGCGTGGAAAGGCGGCAGCAATGGCGGCGCGGCGGTGGTGGCGTGGTCGGTGTTCTCGTGCGACCAGGCGGTGGCGTACGCGCTGATGGCGGCGACGGCGGCGGCGCTGCAGTCGTCGGTGGTGGGGAAGCGCGGGCAGCCGGAGCTGCAGTGGATGCCTGTCTGCGGCCTCTACGGCGCGTTCTGCCGCCGCGTCGGGGAGGGCCTCGCCGCCGCCGTCGCCGCGGGCCTCGCCGCCGTGCTCCTCGCCGCCGTCTCCGCGTTCAACCTGTTCCGCCTCTACGGCGGCGGCGGCGGCGGCCGCAAGAGCAGCGCCGGCGCCGTCTCCGGCAATGGCGCGAACACGTGGTAGGCAAGGCTAGTTTAGCTGCTTCGATGGAGTTTAATTTCTTTGTAGTTTCAGAATTAAATTAAGCGAGACTGGCTCACTGACACGTAATTAAGTTCGTTAAATCGTTGGTAATAACTGTTATGGGCTTATGGCTGTGGATGATAATAATTAAGTCAGATTTGCCGACGACCAAATCGCCTGTTTAATACTCCCTCCCTCCATCCTAAATATAAATAATTTTGGTTGGACGTGACATATCCTATTACAATAAATCTAGACATGAAAGCTGTCCAGATTCACTGTACTGAAAAGTATCATATCTAACCAAAATTTTTTATATGGAGTACTGGTTAATGACGTATTAAGGTTGGTGTCTTTTTTTTTAAAAGACTATTAAGGTTGGTGTCGGCGTGAATCAATCGATGGACACCGTGTGAGTGCGGCAGGCACGTCCGCATGCGTGAGTCCACTCAAATCGCCTTCTGTTAATGGGTCTCAAATCTGGTACCACTTCACGTATACTTCCTCCGTCCAAAAAAAAAAAGACAAACCTTGATTTCCGTGTCCAACGTTTGACCATCTGTCTTATTTTAAAAAAATATGAAAAAAATTAAAAAGATAAGTCACGCATAAAGTATTAATCATGTTTTATCATCTAACAACAATGAAAATACTAATTATAAAAAAATTTTATATAACACAGACAGTTAAACGTTGGCACGTAAACCCAACGTTTTGACTTTTTTTGGACACAAGGAGTAGCTCCTAATCTAATATACTCAAAATTTAACAAATGTTTATATTTGAGTATGTAACTTTCGCATACTACAACAAATAGTTATATTTCAAGAAAAACCTATAGATCCTCACCATCACGGTAAATTAAGAAAGACACTTAGGGCAACCACAATGTATGAAAAAGGTGACCTTAAGGCAATGATTGCACTTGTAAAGTGAGCCATATACATTGTGGAAAGTAGCATTAGCTTAGGATGCAGCTTATGCTTAAGTTCTCCCATAAGCAAAAAGAAAATATTTTCTCTCTCATTCACTTCATGAACAAGAGATGAAACAATTATTTTTCCATTCTATGTGGGCCATCTTGTGGCTAAATTCTAACCATAGCATTATGGGTATGGCTATAACAATGGCTCACTATTCATAAGGCCCACCTTAAGGTTACACTACACCACAAACATTGAGGATGCCCTTGTAGATAGTGGTGGACCTAGAAAACTTTCCAAGCACAGGAAAACTCAAATATACCTAATATTTGCTATAATATTTTTAACTTTAATTCTTTCAAATAAAATAAAATTTTAACAGTGTATTTGACAGTGAGCCCGGATGGTGGATGGTGGCTCCACGCTGCTTATAGAGCAAACCAATGTAGATGGACGAAGCACTAAACTACGGCAAAGGTAGAGAAAAAGGACCATTCGAGTAGCTAATTAATTATATGTTGGATCGTAGTAAGATATTTTCATGTAATACCATGGTCTCTACATGTTTAGTAGGTTTAGAGATCAATTAGTTTTTAAAAGACGAGATGTACTATAATTGCACTTGAACTTAAGTCTGTCGGTTAGACCATGTGGCCAATGCCGATCAGATTGTAGACCGCCCATTTGTGACCTGGTCGGATTTTTAGGTTGTTGATCAAACCGCCCCTACATGGATAGCTATACTGGCCTCACTACAGAAGCTCTAACATTATTTTTTTTAAAAAAAATGGCTTAATCTTACCATGGGCTATTTTGAATTGATGACAAAATATGTCCTACTATTGATAGCTTGAATAGTAATATTGGCTATTCGATTTGAAGCCAAATAATTAGTAATGCCTAAAATCAATTTGACTTCACATTGGTAGTAATCCTCTGCCAATCCAAACATTCGTACTACAACTCTATCCTACTTAAAAGAAATGAAATGATAGTACATACCAATACTTATCAAGAATTTGATACTATCAAATATTTAGTATGTTAACGAACCAAACCCACCCTATAACTTCATCCCAATGCCAACTTGTCCTCCTGCATTTTTAGCAAACTTGAAAGCTAAAACACTCGTAAATTTAAGAGCGATGGACCGTTACTGGCCATGTAAAAACTGTTACTCTATTCGTCACAAAATATAACAATTTTAAACTACAAAGTTGTCTTAAGCTATAACAATTTCTCAAGCAAATGAGGGAAAAAAGTACATCGAAGGTCCCTCAACTTGTCATCGAGTTACAAAATCGTCCCCGAAACACAAAACCAGATATCCGGCATCTCTCAACTAATCAAAACCGGTAACATTAGGCCCTTCGATGGTTTTGACCCCGGTTTTGTCCGACGTGGCGGTTGAGTCAGCGTGGGACCCACGTGGGCCCCATGTGTCAGTATACCACGTCATCATCCTCTCTCTCTCCCCCTTCTCTCCGGCTCTCCCTTCCTCCTCCTCTCTCTCTCTCACTCTTCTTTTCTCTGGGCGAGCTGGATGGCAGCTGGGAGGAGGCCGCCGGGGCGAGGCAGGAGGCGGCGGTTGGCGGCTGCGACGTGGGAGAAGGCCGTCGAGCAGGGAGCAGCAGAGGCCGAGCACATTGGCGCACACGCGCAGCTTTAGCGCGTCGCGTGGGCTCGACGACGACCCGGTGCTGGGTGTCGGCGTCGGCCTCAGCGGGCAGTTGGAGCCACAGGCGCTCGCCACCACGGCCACGGTGAGGAGGCTCACCGCCAGAACAAGCACCACCAGAACAAGCACCGCCTTCGCCGCCATTGCTATCGATCGAGCTTTGCTAGGCTGCTAGCTTGTACTTGTAGCTAGCTCGAGCTTGCCGCTGCTACTGCTGCTTGCTGTGTGCTGGGCCTGGGAGTGTGCATGGCAAGGTGTATTGTGTATTTATAGTGGCCATGGAGAAGAAGATGAGAGGAAGCGACGGCGCGGGAGCACCAGACCAGGAGGGCCTCCCTCCACGCCGCCCCACCGCCACCGCCACTGCCACCGCAACCGGCAGGTGGGGAGGAGGCCGACGGGGCGAAGCGGGGAGGCTGGCGATTCTGCAAAGTCGCGGATGATGCCGCCGTGATGAGGTGCTCCTCATCTCTGACAGCAACGGGGAGCTCGCCCATGCCATGGGAGTCGATCTCGACCTCTCCGACAAGCCCGCCGGGCTCGACGTCCGGTCTCACCGCTACACGTTCCTGGCAAAGGACGACGCCCGCTGGGTCTAGCCGACGGCCGCCACTGCCAACGCCAAGCTCCTCTCCGTCGGCCGCTGCTTCTCTCCCCACTCGTCTTCGCCAGCTAGCGTCGCCGCCGCCAACGAGGGACAATGCCGCCAGGTTTAGGAGGACGTGCGGGCGACCGCTGGAGTCGCCTCCCGTCGAGCAGAGCGGAAAGCGAGATGACGCAAGGCGAGGGCGAGGAAGAGGCCGTCGCTGGTGGCGCCGCCGCCGCGTCCGTCTCCACCTTTGTTCCTCTCCCCTCCAATTGTTAGCCCAGCCCCACTCCTTCCCCGCCGCCCGTCGCACCGGCCCTCCTCTCCGCTGCGCTCCCCCCCGCCGGCCGCCAGACGCCCCCGCCGCATGCGCTGGGCCAGGGCCTCCTCCCATGCCGGCCGCCGGCCGTGCCCGTCGCGCTGGCCCTCCTCCCCTGTTGGCCGCCGGACGCACCCGCCGCACCCGCCGCACCGTACCTCCTCCTCCGCCAGCCGCCGGCACTCCTCCCCTACCGGCCGTGATCCTGCAGAGGAGAAGTGAGAGAGAGAGAGAGAAAGTGAGGAAGGGAGAGGAGGGGGAAGAGAGAGTGTGTTTACATGGCGTCCTAACATGTGGGGCCCACGTGGGTCCCGCATTGACTCAGCCGCCGCGTAGGATATAACCGGGGTAAAAAAAAAAACCACTAAGAGACTTAAAATGAACGGTTTTGTGAGTTGAGGGACGTCAGATACTTAGATACTTGGTTTTGTGGTTCGGGGATGATTTTGTAACTCGATGAGAAGTTGAGCGACCTTGTACTTTTTCCAGCAAAGGAGGTAGTACCGTCGCAGGCGGGAGGCGGCATGCCAAATTTGGGCCGGCTCAAGAGGTTGCGTCACGGCCCAGTACATCAAGGCCCATCCAAGGAAACTTCTAGAACGTTTGCCTTCTACGTCACGCCCCCGCCACCCCCATCCCCGGTCGGTCGCGTGCACGCCTACCTATCCTATGGACCCCGCCCACCGCACCACCACCCACCCCACGAATCTCGAGGCATAACGGGTGGTTCACATCGCTCCGGACTATGGACCAGGTCCAGCCATATCCCACCCTCCCCCGGGGAAACAGTCCAGACTCCCACAAAGAACGGTTCGATTTTGTATAAAACCCCTCGCAATTTTTTTTCTCCCCCACAAAACTCCCGCATCGCCCCACACTGCTCCTGCTGCCTCTCTCTCTCTCCCCTCCGGCTTCTCCGCCGCCGCGAACGCCTCTCGACTCCGGCGAGTTCATCACCGGCGTTCACGAGGATGGTGAGTTTGGTTAGGGGGGCAGAGCCCCTTCTCAGGCCTGAAATGTTTTTACCCTCGGATTGTTTAGGATTTCGCGATTCAATTCGCGCTATTTTTTTTTTAGTTTTAGTTTTATTATTTCGTGTGATCTGAGAGGCTGAGATGTGTGGATGCGTATGTGTGGTTCCGGGGTGGAGCGATTTTGGTCGATCCGTGGGGAATTGATCGGTGGGGGTTGCGTTTTGAAATGAGGGGATTTGGGCCGCGGTTTGGATATGGATCTGCGTGCGTGTCTGCGACATCTGACCTCGAATTTTAGCCAGGGTTTTGTTGATTTCTCCCGCTTCGTTGGGGTTTCGTATCATCCACATTATGGAATTATGGAATAGAGATGATTTAGGGGGGAAGACAGGAGCGGTGATGTCTGTCCTTCGATTTTTTTTCCTGCTTTTGGTTGATTGCTGTTGTAGATTTTGCTGGATAGGCACGATTCAGGGGGTGGATCTGTGGTTTCGTCGATATGTTTCTGAGCTTAGTGTGGTAGATTTTATTTTTGCGGAGTTCAGTTGTGTGGGTTGAACTCATGCAGTTGTGCAGCCAATGAATACGATCTGGTAGGAAATTATTTCGATTAAGCTTTTGAAAAGAAATAAAAATTGCACTGCTGAACCGATTATAATGAATTGAAAAGAAATAGGAATTGCTGTGGCATTTATACAATTAAGCTATGATGTGCTCATCTCCAAAAAAATGAATTATAAGAAACGGATGCAATATTTCAGTACCATATATCGGCCATGACATGCTTATTCCTGCAATTTTAGATGAGAAATTCATATAAGCCTTGAAAAGTTGAAATCTTAGCAGGAAATGTTGTTTGGTGTTAGAAATGAGAAATGCGGAGCAGTCTGTTTTAAGAAAATAGGGATAATTCTGGATATAATTGGGTCCTTTGTTGCCACCGGTCACTTGTCTTGAGTTGTGGGCTCGTACTTATTACTGAATTCTGTATTTCTGATGAGTGCTACAATGATATATATAATATAATAATCAGTGTTCTCCTTGGGTTTAGTTATTTTTTCTATGGTGAGAATTGTAGTTGTTGAACTACTTATTTATATATATTTGTTTCTAATTAAGACAATTGTGGTCTTCAACAGCTCCTTTGGGTCATTGAGTAGTTATGTTAGAGGGAAATGATAAAATTTATTTTGTTTTATTAGTAAGCATTTTCAGGGGTAGCTTACCAGATACTCTGAAGTTTTATCATTACTTCATTAGTAATGATAGAAGTGATACTAAGTTTGATCTGACATCATTCAGCTGTTGTCGTTTCCTCCTACGGGATAATGTCACTACCTTTTTATGTTATTTCCTTATGGTTAGCAGAATGCAAATACGTTCTGTCCTTATGTTATATTTGTCCACTTCAAGCAATTTCTTTTTACTGTATCCTAAACTATTTCATTGCATTCAGACTACCTCAAGGCGTCTTGCTGACAGGAAGAGCGCAAAGTTCCAGAAGAATATCACGAAGAGGGGTTCAGTGCCTGAGACTACTGTGAAGAAGGGGAATGACTACCCTGTTGGACCCATGGTGCTTGGGTTCTTCATTTTTGTCGTCATTGGATCATGTAAGCTTTGGCCCTTCACTTTCCTATTCCTGTCTGTTTGATATTTCAGTATCCCTTGTGGTGTGGTTCGCAGGAATGCACATGCACAAAATAGTATATATGCATCTTCAGCTTTATGAAATCAATCTGACTAGCTTTATGACTGCTGAGTTAGCATTTTGCACTGAAGGCCTCCTGTAACATTTACTTACCACTAGGTTGACTTTGTACCTCCTTAGGAAAGGTTCTCTTTTCCACTGTCCATGTTAGCTGTCTGACTTGTTGAACAAGATATTTCTTATCACTCATAAGTTTGTGGTTGAGGTTTTCCAAACATGGTTGGCCAAGGTGTCTTTTCGCCGCTAGATGGCTGGATATTTTTCATTTGATAGTGCATTGTAAACATGTTGGTTGTTGAACCATATATAGTGACATATTTCTGAACTTTCTTGTAGTGTTAACCACCATAAAATCTGGAGTATTATCCATGATGAATAGAAAGTACATTCATTCAGGGATGTTGTTTGTTTTTATATGTTAAATATGTGGCCTGTGCTTAAGGAAATGTAAACTGTGACTACTATCACATTTACAATGTGTTAGAACTGTCAATTCAACAAATTAATTTCCTGAGTAATGCCTATTTCCTTTCCTGCCATGGTCCAAATGTTAAATTGTTAATACCCTCTGCAATTTTTCAAGCCACCATCTAAAATATAATGGAAAATTGAGCTTTTTGCTTAAGTTCCTCCTAAGATACATCAATTATTCTCAGCTTTCACTTCCCATATTTCCCAATACAGTATATCCAAAGAACATATGTATTGATTGTTGATAACAGTTCATTTTGTACAAAGTCCTTTTCTGGCCTACATGCTATAACAGTTGAAATTAGGAAATGTAAAGCTGCTTCTCTCTTGTGACTTTTCACTTACATGTTTCCCTATTCTGTGTTTCAGTAGAATTCTGTCATACTTTTGCTTCATACACGTGCCTGTTCTGTCTATCCGTGTACAATATGCAACACAAACTTCATTTATCAACTCTGTGTTCCTTACAAAGTTGTCAAAAAACGGATGGAAATGACAGTCTCTAACATTTGGTTGTCTTGCAGCCTTGTTCCAGATAATCAGGACGGCAACTAGTGGCGGGATGGCTTAAATTGGAGCTAAATTCAGTTATTTATGCTGTGTCTGAGAGAGAGGCTGTACCTGTACTTTGTAGTGAAGTTTGTTCCTGGATGATATCGTGTAGAGGGTCCATGTTGTGTCCGTTTGCATTTTACTAAATCTAAACTAGATGTTGGTACCTGAATCTTACAGACTTTAAACTTAAATGGATATAATTGAACTTTGATCTGGAGACTAATAATTAGCATTGTTCTTTGTTATTTTCTGTAGTATTCTGTTTTCCTGCAGTTACGCAAGCCTATGCAGTGATTTTCAGTTGATCACTACGAGTTCCTCTTCTGCATTTCAATATGCACCTTGAGCAAATGCATATGTAATACGAAAAACTAGCTATTAGACAAAACATCATGATGGTTTATGCCATCAAACCTTCTCTGTTTGATAGGGTATGCAAATGTGTTGGCTCAAGTTTTGATAAGTTAATAGTTAACAAAAATTGGTATGCAAACGTGTTGTTAACAAAATTATCCAGAATATTTATATATGATCCAGATAAACTGTTAGGGCATGTACAAAGGTAGAGACGGGTATGAGCTCTACGCTATTTAGAGTCTAATGTCATACAACAGTTGAAGACAATATGGTCTCTACTATTAATGTATCAAAAACAATTTTCTTACTCATCTTTCCTTTCTTTGTTATGCATAATAACCATATTTCTCATTCCTCCTTTCTCTTTCTTACATATCATCAAATTTACTTGCACGATAATAGAGAGACCAGTAATAAAGACCATCGTACATGCCCATAGGCTGTTAAAATCTGGAAATGTGAATGTGTCTGTCTTTTGGGCATGAAAGATAAGCTGGTTTGTATTCTAAGCATATGTCATGATACTCCAAGGCTGTAATTCCTGGGCATGGCTCTATCACAATCATCTTCACAGGGGCGCAAAAATCTCTGGAATTTTCCAATGGATCTCGAATCTCTTTCTGATCTGTGATGCTTCTGCGTAGTTCTTGTGAACAATCTCATCAGGTTCACCCAAAAACTAATGGTCCATGCAGTCCTTGTGAAGTTAGAGATATTATTGCCTTGCATTGAAATCAGAATAGGAATTCTATTCTTGTGAATGCAAGTTAGCTTACGCCATGTCTAGATCCCACCTCAAATTTTTTTTTCCCTGTCAGATCGAACGTTTGAACACCTGTATGAAGTATTAAATATAGGCTAAAAAACAACTAATTGTATAGATTGCGACTAATTTGCGAGACGAATCTTTTAAGCCTAATTACTCTATGATTCGATAATGTGGTGCTACAGTAAATATTTGCTAATGATGGATTAATTAGGCTTAATAAATTCGTCTCGCGGTTTATCGACGGATTCTATCATTACTTTTTTTATTAATGCTTGAACACCCCATGCGACACCTTGTATAATACCCGATGCGACACGCTAAAACTTTACACCCCTAGATCTAAACACCCCCATAACTAAATAACTACTGCCAGGTACACAACTACACATGCGGAAATGTTTGATGAAGTTCGGTAGTGGGCTTGGAGTGCGATTTTTCACGGCACACGAAATAAGGCAAGCCATTAGCATATGTTTAATTGGGAAGCGGATCCTCTGATGTGAAATTCCCCCTGACACGGTCAATGATAGGTGGGTCTGCGAGCGGCGGGGCCCATATGTCAGTCACCACGTTCCTCTAACTTCACGTCAGAACATCCCAATCCGTTTAATTGATTATTGCTCCCTCCTTCCACAAAAGTTATACTCTACCTATTACTTTTGTTACCAAGATTAAGGAGAAATTAACTCATGTTGCAGGTAACAAAAAAGTGTATGCACGTTTCAACCAATGAGTATTAAGATGACTCCTCGGATTCTGATCAAACATTTAATTTACCTCTCCATTTAAGTCTTAGATGTATATAGACTTCAAATATAAATAACTTATTTGGAAAAACTAAAATATAAAATATGTCCAACTCTTTTGGATGGAGGGAGTAATTATTACAAACTTAAAAAGATGGTTTTATTTAAGTTTTTAAAGAAACCTCTATATAAAATGTATTTTAAAAAACACATTGTTTAGAAGTATAGAAAACATCATCACCCCTAAACTCATTACCGAACGAGCCTAATTGCTTGCTTGGTATTTTAACACGGACCCTATGAACCAATTAAATCCTTATGTTGACTAGATTGCTAAATCACGTTTCAGAGGAGTAGGTTGGAAAATGAGTTTTGTTCTCAGGACATTATACTCCAGATTTGATTGAGCTCCTGCGTTCGTACCTGAAGCTCCCCAACTTCTCTATCTCGTTTTCCGTGCGCACGCTTTTCAAACTGCTAAATGATGCTTTTTTTAAAAGTTTTTATACGAAAGTTGCTTAAAAAAATCAAATTAATCTATTTTTTTAAAAAATTAGCTAATACTTAATTAATCATGTACTAATGGACTACTCCGTTTTCCGTACGTAGAGGATGGATTCCCAACCCATTCTATTGAACGCAGCCATATTGACTTGTCATAGAGAGTTCATTTTGTACACAAAGTCCTTTTCTCGCTTACATGCAAGAACATATCTTAGTTTGCACTGTTTGAGTACTACAAATCTTTCAAGGACAATAATAATAACACATCAGCATCAGTGAATGGTCCACACTCCACACAACCATTTTGTTTAATCAAGAGCACACCCTTAAATTTTTCAAAGATATTTTATGGATGGTGAGATCTCAGCAAGAAATGGACAAGACCAATCATGGCTCTTTTATGTCTCCAAATAGATGGGGTTTCTTGCCCTGGCTACTCTTCAACTTCAAGTGGACAACCATAAGTAAAAATGCTCCACAATAATCAGTAAAAACATTCAAAAATACAGAAAAGCAACAGGAACGACATTCAGATAAATACAGAAAAGCACCCGTTATAGTTCAAAAGGAATCATTAATCAGGTCAAATGGACAATCAAATAGAGAACTAAGCCCTACAACCAAAATACATAGTACTACCTGCGTCTCAAAATAAGTGCAGCCGTCGATATCTGTGTCCAACGTTTGACCGTCCGTCTTATTTAAAAAAATTATAAATATATTTTTTAAAAATAGTCACATATAAATTACTATTCATGCTTTATCATCTAAAAAAACTAATTATATAAAATTTTCAAATAAGATGAATGGTCAAATGTTGAACATAAACAGTGCAAAACTGTAATTATTTTAGGACGGAACGAGTAGTTCGTTTTGATCTATTGCTAGATGGATTCTAGTACAGATATTAGCAGTTATTACCTATTCCACTAGACATGGATACTCATTAAATCCATGGTGATGTTAGGCAGCTTAGACTATTCATCAAAATAATCCAATTGCTTAAGGTATATAAATTAAAGTCATCTTGCCCCCAAATTAGCACTTAACCACAACTACCCAAAATGGCCAAATCCAACAAATTAACAAACGAAAATCATTTCCATCATCATCAACAAACAGAGTTGTACAAATAATTCAACATGCATCTAAAGAAAAGAGGAACCTTCAACAAGCATGTGGTTATTCCATTTCTCCCATACAACAAAACAACAAAACAAATACATTCACTGACCATTCCTGTTCTCCCATGTGCTTTGAGTTCAAAGGCCAAAACTATACACATCATGAGCATGTGGCAAGCAATCCAAGTACCACCCTAGCACATAGGAAACTCCTATATCCCTACGACAAGTAAAACTCGTCATTTTCCAATTTAATAATCTACATAGAAATGATTTTGTGAAGGTGTGTGACATTTTGTTTGAGCGACACTCAAAAGTACTATCTCTTAATGCCAAATAAAAAGTTATACAACCTCCGTCCAAAAAGAATACATTTCTGGCTGCATGCACGGATGCACCTGGATTGTCCAGGTACGCACAAATACATTCCTTTTGGACGGAGGTAGTAGTTTTATGTTTTAATGACAAACAAAACAGTACTCCAACTGTAATACAACAACACAAGAACATGGCTTGTGATATGTGTCCGATCAACACTTACATTATAAACCATACTCTATCACAACAAATAAAAACTATAGTTTTCCTAATACAAGGACTTCAAATTTTCTTTTCGAAAATGTTATTCAATCATTAATGACTAATAACAACTATACCCCGAAATTAAGCCCAAAACAAAAATCAATCACAATTGCTACGACATTTCTCCTACGGTCCAAGAATGAAAAAACTATGAACCTGCGAGTGCGTGCAATATGCCATCTAACTGATATTGCCAAACAAATACTTCCTCTATTCCGTGTTGTAAGGTGTTTTAGCTTTGAGTCAACTTGTTTTAAGTTTGATCAAGCTTATAAAAACCGGTCATATTTCTAACATAAAATTAAGATACATTCGATGTTCGATTTAACGAAGCAAACTTGGTATTGTAGATGTTATGTTTTCCTATTAATTTGATCAAATATAACAAGTTTAAGTTAGGAGTTAGGACAAACTTAAAACACCCTCTAGGAGTAAATTTTTTTTTTTTGAGGGAACACTAGGAGTAAAATCTGATGTGACACTACCATGACATTTGAAGGTGTATCGCTAGCCAAAAAAACTCTCACAAGATATCATCACCTATTCCTTTTGTTATTGCAATCCACATCTTTTCCTCTCATGGACCATGTGGTTGCTAGCAATTTTGTCTAGTATAAATCAACGCCACACCACTTGCCTAGTCATCAACACATCAAAAATATTCATCTTTAATTTTTTTTGAATTCATTTCTTCACGTAAACATCCTACTCCATCTCTCTCATTACACTCCTTTCAAAAACCTCCAAAACAAAAAGAAAAAAAAAGAAGAAGAAGAAGAAAAAAACCCTCCAAAACAAAAGAAAAAAAAGAGAAAAAAAGAAGAAGAAAAAAACATCCAGATATATATAGCCATACTGCATACTGTTGTAGCTAATTAAGCTATAGCTTGGTAATCCGCAGCCATGGCGCCGGACGTCGAGGCGCGGCTGCTCGCCGCCTCCTCCAAGCCGGCCACCGCCGCCGCCGCCTCGCTGCCGCGCCGCAACAAGTACCCCTTCTTCTGCGCCGTCCTCGCCTCCATGACGTCCGTCCTCATGGGCTACAGTACGCACGCACACCATCGATCACACCGTCGGCTAGCCTCGCCGCGCGCGCGCCGCCGACGCCGCCATTGACGTTCGTTGTTTGGTTCTTGCAGACGTGGCGGTGACGAGCGGGGCGCAGATCTTCATGGCGGAGGACCTGGGCGTGAGCGACGCGCAGATCGAGGTGCTTTCGGGGGCCATCAACATCTACTCGCTCGTCGGCGCGCTGCTCGCCGGGTGGACCTCCGACCGCCTGGGGCGGCGGCTCACCATCGTGCTCACCAACGGCTTCTTCCTCGCCGGCCCGCTCGTCATGTCGCTCGCCGGCGGGTACGCCGCGCTCATGGCCGGGAGGTTCGTCGCCGGCATCGGCGTCGGCTATGCCCTCGTCATCGCCCCCGTCTACGCCGCCGAGATCTCCCCCGCCTCCTCCCGCGGCCTCCTCTCCTCCCTCCCCGAGGTCACCCCCATTCATATCCCAAACTTCTTTTAATTTACTAAATTTCGATCGAATTTGGGCAAAATAGCTTTGAATTTTGTGATGGTTTTTGTGTTTTTTTGTTTGTTGAACATATTTATCAATGGGAGAGTGATTTAATTACTAAATTTCGATCGAATTTGGGCAAATTAGTTTTGAATTTTATGATGATTTTGTGTTGTTTTTTTTTGATTTTTGAAGATATTTATCAATGGGGGAGTGATTTAGTTACTAAATTTCGATCGAATTTGGGCAAATTAGTTTTGAATTTTATGATTGTTTTGTGTTGTTTTTGTTTTTTGAAGATATTTATCAATGGGGGAGTGATGCTGAGCTACGTGTCGAACTTCGCCTTCTCGGGGTTGCCGGTGCACCTGTCGTGGCGGCTGATGTTCGCCGCCGGCGTGGTGCCGACGGTGTTCCTGGCGGCGGGCGTGCTCACCATGCCGGAGTCGCCGCGGTGGCTGGCGATGAAGGGGCGGCGCGGCGAGGCGAGGGTGGTGCTCGACCGCACGTCCGACACGCCGGCCGAGGCCGAGCAGCGGCTGCAGGAGATCGAGGACGTCGTCGCCGCCGCCGGCTCCGTTGCCGGCAACGGCAACGGCGGCGGCGGCGCGTGGAAGGAGGTGGCGACCAAGCCCGGCGTGCGGCGGGTGCTCGCCATCGTGCTGACGCTGCAGTTCTTCCAGCAAGCGTCGGGCATCGACTCCGTGGTGCTGTACGGCCCGCGCGTGCTCGCCGCGGCGGGTGTGGCGTCGAACACCCTCCTCCTGGGGCTCAACGTGGTGTTCGGCGTCGCCAAGGCGAGCTCCATCCTCGTCGCCATGGCGCTCACCGACCGCGTGGGGCGGCGCCCGCTGCTGCTCGCCAGCACGGGCGGCATGACGGCGTCCCTCCTCGCTCTCGGCTCGGTGTTCGCCGCGTTCGGCGGCGCGAGGGACGACGCGGCGGTGGCGGCGGGCGCCGCCGTCGCCGTGGTGGTGGCGTTCGTGTGCGCGTTCTCCGTCGGGATCGGGCCGCTGGCGTGGGTGTACAGCTCGGAGATCCTGCCGCTGCGGCTGCGCGGGCAGGGCGCCGGCGTCGGCACCGCCATGAACCGCGTCGTCAGCGGCGTGGTCACCATGACGTTCATCTCGCTCTACGGCGCCATCACCATGGCGGGGGCGTTCTACCTCTACGCCGCCATCGCCGCCGCCTCCTTCGTGTTCATCTACGCCTGCCTGCCGGAGACCAGGGGGCGGAGCCTCGAGGACATGGAGGAGCTCTTCCACACCAAGTGATGATCTCATCTTCCATCAATGAATCAATTCACATATATATGCATTTGGGTTGTTGCAACATTTTGAATGGAAAGTTTGATTCTTTCTTGGTAAGATTATCAAAGGTTTTTCATGTTCATTTGGCTGATTAATTGGTATACTATAAATTTATTATTACTGTTGAAATTGACATGTAAAGATCGGTGGGACAGTGGATACATACTGGCTGAATATGGGGAAAAGAGAAAAGTTTAGAACGGAGGGATTTTGTATTATAGAAAGAAAACTAAAACATGTGTGTTTAATTTTGTAAAAATCCTGTAAATTTTCTTGACGAGCCTTTATCGGTTGGTTTTGCTATTTATCAGGCGAGCCATATCTCAAGTTCCAAGTTCCAATCTCTACTACTAGTCTAGTGGGTACAGAAGGACTATTTTAATGGGAGGTTAATGGGAGGCCTAATTTGGGCATGATTTGCTATTTGCTCTGCTAAATTTCGGCTTTGGTCCATATAGCCTGTTTATCCACCTACATTCAGCCTAAAACAAGTATACTAGACCATTGAAGCTAGATACGACAAAGGCCTAATTTTGGCTCGTTAATCCTCTCAAGTGGGCCAAATTTCATTTAGCACGTTAAATATCAGAAGCAGGCCTAATATGGGAAAAAGTACACCGAAGGTCCCTCAACTTGTCATCGGGATAAAAAACATCCTCGAACCGCAAAACCAGATATGCGAGGTCCCTTGACTATACAAAACCGGTCACCCAAGGTCCTTCGGTGGTTTTGATTCCAGTTTTGGTCTACGTGGGCCCCACATGTCATGTGTCCACGTCAGCCTCCTCTCCCTCTTTCCCCTCTTCTCACCCTTCCTCATCTCTCTCTCCCCCTCCCTTCGTCATCTTCGTCAATGTCGCGGCGAACCCGCGGCTCGGCGAGGCCGCGCTCCGGCGGGTCGGCACGTCGGCTGCGGTGGTGGACCAGCTGGTGGAGATGCTCAGCTGGAACGGCGCCGCCGAGGCCGCCGCCAGGGCGTCCGCCGCGCTCGTCGTGTCCAAGCTCGCCAGCAAGAAGCGGAACACGCTCCGCGTCGCCGGCTTCCCCGGCTCCATCGAGTCGGTGTTGTTGCTGCTCTACATCGCCGACGAGGAGTGCAACCTCCTAGGCCTACTCATCATCAAGAAGCTGGCGCGCGACCACGACAACTGCAGCAAGATTGGCTACGCGATGTATTTGATAGGTGGATGCACATGCTGTCAAGGAAAAAACCAAGTTCCATCACAATTGAGTTCTCCCGTGGGAATTATTAAAAGACTCCATCATGCCTCTTCTCTATCAGTGATTTGGAATATCTACAGATAGAAAAGATGCATCATCAGCTTGTCTCGAGAGTTTGAAGGTTTTAAGCAGCTAATTGTTCTGAATCTGAAATATTTCTCCTCAACAGGCAGTGACATAAATAATCTGATCTCCTCATGCCCTCGGCTGAACACATTGCGTTTGAAACATTTTAAGGGTATCAATCGTCTCCGAATTCAAGCTCAAGCACTACAGGTTTAAGAGGTTAAAGGGTCCTTTGAAGACTTTCATCTGCATGCACCTAACCTGTCCAATGTGTATGTTACACTTGACAAAACAAAAGTTGCAGATAGGAGTAAAAACTATATGATGCAAGCTTCGTTAGACTAACTGGAATAGAAGCACTTGTTATGAAAAGATGTATGGTTGCGTTGCCTCAGACGTTTGAAGGTTTCAAGCGGCTATCTATCTTGAATCTGAAATATATATACTCAACAGACGCCTCCTCGACAAGATCATTGACTTCTCCGCCATCGGCGGCGGCGCCAGCGGCGCCGGATCAGCCGTGATCACGCCGTCGTGCGCCAAGGCCGTGAAGCGGTCGCTGCAAGTGATCAAGATGCTCGCGGAGACGACGGGGAGCACCGGGAAGCTGCTCCGGCGGGAGGTCGCCGAGATCGTGTTCACGGTGAGCAACATCGTCCGCGCCGTGCTCCAGCACGAAGCCGGGCACCTCGAGCTGCAGCGGCTCGGCGCCGAGGTGCGCCGCGGCCGCGTGGGGCGTAGCCTGCCGCCACCGCCACGCCTCCGCTTCCACTCCACTCCGCATCGCTCACACGCCGCCTCCGCCGGCCTCATCCTCCCGTCCCCGCTGTCCGCCACGGAGAGATCGAGTGCCGCCGCATCCTCCAGCAAGTGCCGCTTCGATGGTGGCTACGTCACCCGCTAGCCGCCCGTGCAGCTGCGGCCCCTCCGCCTGCGCCCACCCACGCGCCGCTCTGCCGCCCGCCGCCTGCGCGCGCCGGGCGCCGCCCGTGGAGAAGAGAGAGAGAGAGGGGAGAGGTGAAGAGGAGATGAGAAGAAGAGACTGACACATGGGGCCCACGTGGGTCTCACGCTGACTCAGCCATCGATGGCCGTGGTCAAAGCGCCACGTAGGACAAAAACCGGGATGAAGGGACCTCGGATGACCGGTTTTGTATAGTTAAGGGACATCGCATATCTAGTTTTGTGGTTTGAGTATGTTTTTTTATCTCGCTGACAAGTTGAGGGACCTTCGGTGTACTTTTTCCCCTAATATGGTAAGCCTCATTAAAAGGCCCATAAATAGACACTGAAGGATTCGGCCTGCTCAAATTAGTAAGCAGGCCAAATTTCAGCCCATTGTGAAATGTGAACAACGTCGTCCGAAGGCCGAATTTGGCTCAATAAGTTCACTTTATGTCTCTTAATTTGTCACCGAGTTAAAAATTTATCCCTCCACCGCAATATAGGGGGGGGGGGGGGGCTAATGGGCGATCGGTCGCCAGGGCGATCGCCCAGCGATCGGTCCCGCCGCCCCCCACTGCCTTCTTCCTTTTCTTCCTCCCCTTCTTTTCCTATTATAGTACACCACAAAAATTTTTTTAAAAAACAAAAAGATAGAAAAATTTATGTATAAACAAATTTGAATTCAAATTCAAATTTGAAATCGGCTATGTAAACTTTTGACTTATAAACTTTGGATATATAAACTTTAGGTGTATAAACTTTAGATGTATAGAAATACTATATATGAAAAATATTTGAATTCAAATTCAAATTTGAATCGGATATATAAACTTTTGACTTATAAACTTTTGGTCTCAAACTTTAGATGTGTAAACTTGAGGTGTATAAACTTTAGATACATAAATTTATTAAAATAGGAAAGTAATGCGGTGCTAAAAACGAAAACCAGAGGGGGGGGGGGGTGGAGAATCGATCGCTCGCCCGCCCAGTAGCATTTCCGAATATATGACCGTCCCTGGACTTGTAAAACCATATCTACTTTCATCCCAAGATAATATGGTTGCCAGTTTCGTTCAACCCGTGCTAAATCAGCGTGGGACTTCCTCTCACCTCGCTCGCCTCTCTTCCCTGTCCTCACCAACCGGGGATGCCAGGGCGCGCGCCGCGTGGATATAGGGGTAGCACCATGCCACCATGGCGAGCTTCCTGGTGGCGTGGGGGCTCGCCACACGGCAGCCTCTCTTCGTCACCGTGCCACTCGGTTTGCGTCGAGTTCGATCTCGCACGGGAAGACGGAGTTACAAGGCGTCGGCGCCGCCCAAGAAGAACGGCGCGGGAGACGACGTGGACGGGTAGGAACTCGATCGACGCGCGCACGATAAGATCAAGATCGAGGCGCAGTGTCGTTCTTGTTCTCGTAGACGCCGATGAGGAAGACGACCGTACCAGAGGTGCAGAAGTCGCCGGTGGGCGGTGGGGTCGAACCGGTCTTGCTCCCGGTTGCCGATGCCGTCAATATAATGTACGTAGAGGTTGGTCTGCACCTGCAGGTACGGTTCGCCGGTGACGTTGCCCAGGAAAACTCGAAGTCGATCGAACTCGTGTGTGCTTGTCCCTGCCGGATGACAGCTGCGAGCCAAATTCAATCACGACTAAAATTTAGTTTTAGCTCCGGTTTTTAATATTGCAACCGCAGTAATTATTAATTAATCGAATAATCAGGTGATTAGTGAAGAGCGGCTATCTTTAAAGAAAATTGTCTTACTGCACGAGTTCACCTGCTGCTGTTCTTTGTAAATTGGTCTTTGGTAGCTTTCCCCCGACAGACATGGCTAGCTCGAGGAGGAGCTTAAGGAGGTCGCTCTCATACAAGTGTCTTGAGCTACTAAAAATTTTAGCGTAAAATTTAGATATCAAGAGGTACTTTCGTAAATTTTTTCCTACTTCATTTATATTATCTTTTATAATTTTCAATTTATCAATTTATTTTATGTTAACATAACAATAAACACTAACTAGTAAAAACACTAAATTCGAATAATAGGAAGTACTAAATACAAAAAAAAAAGATCCTATTACAAGAAAATTTTCTTGGCAGCCAAAAACCGCCAAGGTAATAATTTTTGTCAGCCACCGACCAAGCAATAAACACCAAGGCTAGAGAGGCAGGGATATCCAGATTTCTTAGCTACTAATCATGAGGAAAAGTTTTCTCAGTGGTCAAATCACCAAAAAAAAACTACAGAGATTGCGAACTTTCCAAAGCGCCAAGAAATATGGCCTTGACGGTCTATAATTGTACTATATTTATATGATAAATTTTTAGGACAATATTTGTCGACAAATATATAGATAGTCCCGATGGGGGGAGAGGAACCATTATATTCCAAGAAACACCCACATAATCAACGGGGAAATTTGAAGGAGAATTCAAAATACGAAGTAAATGCTGAGAATTCAAACCTTTAGTCTGAACAATGGCATTCTGCAGGAGGTGGAAGTGAATGCGAAGAATTCAAAATACGAAGTGAATGCTGAGATGCTTTCCTTGGCGGTTTGCGTTCGAACTACCAAGAAAAATATAGATTTGTTTGTCGGTTAGGACAACTCACAAGGAAATCTTCCGAACCTTGGTGGTTCTATATAGCCGCCAACAAAATATGTATCTACTTGGTGGCTAGTTTTAGCCGTTAAGAGTTAAGACAAAGGGTAAAGTTGGCGGTTATTGTTTGACCGCCATTGAAATCAGCTGGCTGCTAAGAAAATCTGTACGTTTTCTTGTAGAGTTGTAGTACCTACTATACTAGTGAGCTCAATGATTATCTTAGCTTACTTGGTAGTTTTCGTTAAGTTAAAAGTTCAACTTCTCTTGGTTCATTATAACAATGTGATCGAGTCAAGCTTCTTGTTTTTCATCACTAATAGCATATGTGGCGCCACGTGAGATAGCTGGTTTGATAAATTATGTCAGCTTGATCATTGCAGCATTTTTGTTACAGGATGCCATGCTGTTGCTTATTCCGGTAAACAACAAGACCTGTTCAAGCTGTGCTCTGCTGGCCATCTATGGCAAGCTCATGATCTGTGTCAAGTACGAATGTACAATCCGCAAATAATTATCGAGCTGGCCCTAAAACAATGTCCAGTTTGTGCTTCTTTTTTGAACGGCAACAACGTATACTCAACACACCCTTTTGTTTTTATTTCAAAACTTCAACGCTTCTCTGAGCATTTCCAAACATTTACAATCGGCAAAAAAATCGTCATTCGAATCCTAAAATGTGCCGTTGATGCAACTACAAGGAAAACCAGCTGAGCTTACACTTAAGTAATCCACCAATGGTAGTAATGAACACTGCAAACCACCGGTGCTGTAGCTGGGCAAATATTCCTCAACTCTCTCTTTTTTTAAAATAATGGAATTCTATTTTAAACTTAATCAACTTTAGCAGCATTTGCACGCCATCAATTTTAATTTCCACTATGATGCTTATGATCACTACGTAAGTATTAAGTAACATGCATAGTATAAATATAAAGGAACCATGCAAACGATACTAATATCCATCAAAGCAGCTAGCTAGCTAGTGTAAAATTATAAGTTTGTAATCCTGCTTAGTTGCATTCTCTGCCTGTATAGCTTTTTACTGTAGTCCACCATTGCGATGGAAGTGCCGGAGATCGCAGTCGAAGTGGCGCCGGAGATCATCATCGCCGTCGAAATGCCGGAGGCGATCAACACCACCATTGTGCGGCTCCCCATGTACATGCAGGAGGCGAACAAGGGCCTGTTCAAGCCAAGGGTGGTCTCTATCGGGCCATACCACTACGGTCAGGGGAGCACCCTCGACATGGAAACTCACAAGGACCGATTTCACCATGCTTTCTTCCAGCGGTTAGGCAACCATGTCAACCATCAAGACTTGATCGCTCAGTGCACTGAAGGTGCAATGCAGTGCTACAACGGCAATGTTGACTTCAGGCTCTACACCCTGGAGAAGCTCATGCACGACGGGTGCTTCATTCTTGAGCTCCTCATCCAGTGGGAAGAGGGAGAGCATGCCCATGTCGATGATCACATGCGATTGATGTCCAACAGCATATACTACGACCTCCTCATAGTCGATAACCAGGTACCTTTCTTCGTTCTCGCTAGGCTGTTTGAAGAATTCAGGAGGTACAACGGTGAACATCCTATCGTCCTAGTAAATACCCCGTTGGTTAACCTCATCAGCAATTTCTTCAACTATGATGGCCAGTTTTCCTGGGTTCATTCAAACCTGCTGAATGAGGATCTCCCTAATGCAAACCATCGCCATTTGCTTGAGATTCAATACAACCTTGTCATCCGCAGAAACAATAATAGAAATAACAATGATGAGCAGATGCATTATTATAGTTGCCTGTGTGGTTTGTGCAGCAGAAACATTTGCCATAAATCACCTATGCCGCTAGGAATCCCTGGGGCAAACGAGCTGCAAGACTACGGCGTTAAATTCCATCAGAAAGAGAATCACCGGATCACCGACATATTCGACGTGACATTCTCGCATAAAACGATGAGCATCCCTCAGTTCAAGATCAACTTCGGCTCCAAGATCCTACTGGCAAATCTCTTCGCCTACGACCAAATCGCTGGCCAACAAGGGAGAAATAATAACGGCGTCGTCGTAGGTCCCGTAACGAGCTACGTCGCGCTCATGAACGCGCTGATCAACACGAAGAAAGACGTGATGGTTCTACAGCGGGAGGGCATCCTGGACAACCTGCTGTCGAACGAGGAAGAGGTGGCCTCCTTCTTCAACAGGCTCGGCAGATGCGCCTTGGTGGATGTCAGCAACCACCGTTACACTGGCATGTTCGAAGATGTCAACAGGTACTGGAGGTACGGATGTTGCTGCAAGCATTTTGTCACCTTTCGCATGAAGCATTGCAGGAACCCGTGGACTTGCCTCTCGCTGATGGGTGCTATTTTGCTCTTGTTTATCTCATTGATCTCCATGATCTACACCATCCTCCAATACTACAACCGTCGGCAGTAGGATTGGCACTTCGTGTGTCTATGATCGCAGCAATGCATCCATGGTGGGAGAATTTACTATTTGCCACTCTATCAAAATACCAGTGCTCAAATGTCACTCTCTCAAATTTTCATTCCCAAACGCCAATGCGATCCCTACCTGTTGTGTTATTTATTGCCGTTAATTAAATGTCTAGCTAGTTTGATCAAGAGACGACACGTACAGAGGAGAACTCTCAAAATTCAGTAGCCATGGAGGAAGAATCAGCTGATTAATTTGATCGAGATTGCTACTTGGTTCATCGCATGTTCCTATTTTAATTTGTAATCCATGTGTGAGAATGTATTTTTAATTCCTGTTTTTACAGCCATGTATACATGTTCTATCTGCTTGTATAAAAGTTGCTCAGTTATGGATCATTAATAAAAGAGATTTTCTACTTTCCATGCCTAAAATTTTGTAAATTATTAGTCACCTAGAATTGCACATTGCGAAATCTAAGTTGCAGCAATGTGCAATTTTATTGATATACATATATGTTTTTACTTTATTTTTTAATCTAAGTTTGATTTTTGTTCATGCTATTTTGTAAATTTTCATGAGTTATAAGTTTATTTCATGTAATGTTGTAATTTTTTATGTGTTAAAGTATTTATTGTTAAGCCATTGGGGAGAGATAAGTAATAAATAATAGGGGAGTTATGAGAAAAATTAAATTATCATCCAGGGAAAAAAATAATGAAACTCTTTAAATTTTCAAGCGCCTGAAAATTTGGCACCCCCATCTGCATATATATGCCTGGTCGGCTGCGATCTTTTAAGATCATTCTCGAATTAATGAGAATTGGTGGATTATCTATTTATTTATTGACTGTAAGGAAGAATTAAATACTATCTGCCCTATGAAAAATAAGTGATCTAAAATCATATTTTTAAAAGTCTGGGGGTATATAATCTGATAAATAAATAAAAAAGTAAGAACAGTGACTTAATTATTATGCTAGGCTGATTTTAATTATTCCCTCTGTCCAAAATATAGGAACCTGCGTTCGAATAGTTTTTTTAGTTTTTAGACTTTTTTATTTTTTAATTTTATTAATAGACATTTTCCAAAAGTATTTTTAAATATGAACTTTTTGGCCATACCAGCCTATCTGGCGTGGTCAAATAGCTTTGTCACGCCACGCGCAGCTAGCATGTCGGCTGGGGTGGCCAAAAGGTTAAGTTTTTGAAAATAATTTTTGAAAATGTATGTTAATAAAATTAAAAAATGAAAAGTCTAAAAAATAAAAAAATTTCTGTTCGAATAAGACATATCCTAGTAATATGAATCAGACAAACTATCTAGCTAGATTCATAATAGAAAATAATCAGAAAAGTAAGAATGGTGACTTAATTATTACAGTAGGCTTATTTTAATTACTCCCTATGTCCAAAATATAAGAACCTACGATCAAATGGGATATATCTAGTAATATGAATTTAGACAGACTGTCTGTCCAGATTCATAATAGAAATGTTCCATCTGATTTTAAATTTTTATATTTTGAGATGGATATAGTAAGCTACTCGCGGCATGCCAATTTTGTAAAGGGAGTATCAAATTCGACATATATGGCACAAATGTTCCATGATCAATGCCTGCAAATTTTGCTTACGTTGGTTTATCAAAATAATTGACCAATATGTGACGTCACATAGATATAGCGTCTTAATTCTGTCAGCTAATAATCGTTCACCAATGTGTGAGAGGATACATGTTCTTATTTATTTTTATTTTTCTCACTATGGTTGCTTATTTCGGACAAAACAACAAAAACTTAGTATTCAAAAACGTTATATATATACATGCTGACATGTTGTGCTCTGCAGCACCATTCCTGGCAAACAAATTTACTATACGTATCAAGTACGAACGTACGGTCAGCAAATTATTGTCGAATGTATTAATTTGACTATTGCAGCACCTGGTTTTGCCTCTTAATTTTATCAAAAGCAACAATGTACTCGACGCCGTGTTGTCGTTGTTACTCAACGCTTGTTGTTTCGATTATTGCACAGGACACACCACAACAACATTTCTTATTCTTCTTTCAATTACACGTAAGTGTGTAAGACATATACATGTATACAAACCCTGTTAAGGCGTGCACACATCCATGGAGCGATCCCTAACACACGTTGAAAAAAGACAACAACAAAGGAACAAATCCTTGATCTCACTAAATAACTATTAAAAGTATATCCACATGCAGTAGTGAACACAATATGATTAATTTTTAGGAGGTGCCAATGCAAACATAATATATATGTGGTGGGCAAACTATATATAAGAAAAATATAAAAAAGATAAATATATGAAAGTATCTGTTTAGAAAAAAAGAATAGAAAAATAATGGTTTTTTTTTACTTCTTTATCTTTTTCTTCCATCTTGCAAACATTCTATTTACAAAACTGAAGTGTGTAAAGAATATACAGTGGGTTTATCCAACAGTAGGAGGGGCTCAAGCCCACCTTGCTCCTTCTTTGGGATCGTCACTTCCCATCTACACGTGTGTAATATTTTGGATATCAGAATTGAAATCAAAGTAGGTAAAGTTATAACATATGGTTAATTGCAGACCCCATGCATGCAACTTATATGCTTCACTAGCAAACATTTTAATCATATACAAATTTACAATTAGCAAAATGAAAAACCTCATTCAATTCAAGTCCTATCATGTACGGTTGGGGCAACTTGGCCGCTTATCGATAAGAGGAAGGATCAGTTGACCATACGCTTGAGTATGTACTTTCTCCAATGGTATATACTACCTCCATATTTTAATGTATGACGCTGTTGATTTTTTATCCAACGTTTAATCATTCGTCTTATTCAAAAAATTTATATAATTATTATTTATTTTAATGTGACTTGATTTATCATTAAATATTCTTTAAGTATGATATAAGTACTTTTATATTTACACAAAAATTTTAAATAAAAAGAATGGTCAAACGTTGATCGAAAAGTCAACAGCGTCATACATTAAAATACGGAGGGAGTATTAATCAATACCCGAACACATCCAGTGGCGAGCTTCAGGGTCTACAGCTGGGAAAATATATATTCCTTAACAAATTTAATTTGACTGACTTTTGTAGCACTATCACGCCATAAATTCTATTTTCCTCTATGACACACACGATTATGTAAGTAACATGCAGCTCTAGCCGTGTAGCACCATGCAGTGAACATTAATCCATCAACCAAGCACATGTTGCCTGTTTGGCTAGCTACCTGGGTACGTAAGTTTTTAGTTATCCACCATTGCGATGAATCGAGACCAAGATCTGAATGATGCTGTCACTACAACAGAAATAATTTTTCCGGGCGATGACCCCTGTACATTGTAGACAGGCCATAATTATGTAAATCGTTCCACGGGAGATGGCTCAAGGACGCATACGAAATAGGCAAGCGATAATAAGTGCATCATCACAAGCTAGAGGGACCAATTAACGGGGCTGTACGTGAAAATATATTTTCACAAAGCGGGCACATGGAAGGCACGTGGGCCCCATGCTTTTTCTCGCACCATTTTTCTTCTCTCCATCTTTCTCTCCCCCTTTTTCTCTCTCTCTTCTCACGCGGTCATGCCATAACTCCTTCGATCTCTCCCACTCCCTATCCTCATGTCTGCACCCTTCCCTTATCTTCTCCGGTGACCGAGGTGGAGGCGGCAATGACGAAGACTACGACAATGGCAGGCCTCGAGAGTGGTGGATCCAACACCGCCACCATCGGGAGGGGCGGATCTATTGTCCTCGGCCTCGGTAGGGGCGATGATGATGGGGAGCGGTGACAGTGAAGCTCGAGGGTGGTGGATCGAGCACCACATCCATCGGGAGGGGTGGATCCATCACCCTCGGCCCTGGGAGAGGTGACGACAGCGGCGAGCAATGATGGTGATCCTCGAAGTCGGTGGATTCGAAACCGCCGCCCTCGGGAGGGGCGGATCCACCGCCCTTGGACCCGGGAGGGGCGAAGATGACTGCATCGACGAAGTCAAGGGGGATGGGAAGCTAGAGTTTCGGCCGAATTTTGTTTTTTGATTTTATTTGCCAAAAATATTTTTAGTTGGCTGGCTTAAGCACCCACATGCGAAAATCCAATTTTCGCAGACACCTGGGTACACCTAGGCCACCCGCACGCGTGCGAAAATTGATTTTGACCGTATGAAAAAATTGTTTTTGTAGTAGTGTATCCAAGCGCATCCTGTGGAGGAGATTGCTGTCCAAGTGAAGGAGCACATCAATACCATCGTCAAGGTTCTTCAAAGGCTAATTTTAAAAAGTATGTACTGGGATGTACCACCTTTTTCATTATAAAATTTGGTATCTCCAGGTATTAGGTGCCAATTTTTTTTATAAAATTAAGATATCTTAATATGCTTTCTCAATGATCATAAAATTTCTCCTCCAAATACATGCGGAGGCAATAATTAGATCTCTTCGATCTGAGTCTAGGGTGATCTGCATCGGCCCCTATCACCGCAGTAATGAGGGTACCCTTGGCATCGAAGATTACAAGGAGCGCTTTCTCCAGGGCTTCTTCCAGCGGTTTGGCAATGTGAATTTTGTTCACTACACTGAAAATATTGCTGCATATTATATTAGCCCATGCGTGGATATAAATGGCCAAACAGGCCGCCCGGCCCGGCACGACCCTGGCACGGCCTAATAAAACTCGAACCGTGCCGGGCCGCCTCGAAGGCACGACAGCCCATTGGACTCCACCATGGATTAAGTCTATTTATCATCTCTCAACTCTTTGGGATGTGTTTTATATGGCTGAAAATAAGCATATTTTGTATTTCTCTTGTCTATGGCCTTTCTTATATGGTTGATTAAGTCTATCTTTGATCCCTCTACTATTTTTCTTCGACCATGCCGTGCCAGGCCAGCCCACCGTGCCAAGGCATCGGCCCAGGCACGGCCCAACTATCGGGTTGTGCCGTGCTTGGGCCGGGCCAAATAGTCATGCCTTTGGCCGGGCCATCGGGCGTTATGACCATCTATACGTGTGGGCGACACGGGGTCTCAATATTGAAAGTTTGATGCTAATTTACACTTTTTATATTGGTTATTTATATATTTTGCGAGAAATAATTGTTTTATAATTAACTTTTGGCCCTTTCGTCGTTGGCGAAAAGCCAAAATCAGGTCCTTTCACATAGGACAATAGCCAAAATCTAATGTAAGTATGTAACGTAGGAAATTAGAAGTGCATATTATATCTCTGAACTTTAAGTAAAGTCTAAAATTCAACCAATTAAAAGCTTCTAGTCCGTATACTGCATGCAACATCAAACTTCTGTTGAAGTGCCCGGCCATCGAACCATCAGAGTGATAAACAAAGTGCAAACGGTTTGACTGGCGACCCAATTAGCTAGATTTTGGCATCACCTAACACGTTTCTTATATTTCGAAACAGACGTAATAGTAGTTTATAAGGTTCATGCGTTGACTGGTCACAATAACGTATCCTTTCCAACTCTAGTAAATAACGTATCCTTTCCAACTCTAGTAAACTACTCCATATTAGGTTACTTCATCCGTCTCAAAAAATAAATTTATTTTTCACCTATCTCACATATGCCAATAAAAAAAAATCCCTACTTTACCAAATCCTAATAAAACTACTTTTTACTTTATCTATTTTTAATATAATTACCTATACTTTCATAGACTCTGATGTAATGATTACTCTAAAAATAAACTTATTTTGAAACAAATGGAAGCAGCTAAAAATAAACATATTAAACAGAGGTAGTTGGATTTAGGGTGTGCATGTGTGTTGACTGTTGACTGCAAGAGCAAATCTCCCCCATTTTAATTTAATTAGAGGGAGGATAGAGACAACAATGGATATATATAAGGTAGGTAGGGTGGTTAGGTGACGAAAGAGCTACCTCAGCTTTAGAGACTTGAGATCCTAACTTAATATCAACAAGAAGCTAGTAATTAACAAGATGAAAGGGGAAGCAACAAAAACAAACTTGACTGTTATCAACCTAGTTTCCCGTCACGTTAGCACGGGCACTAATAGAGTCGGAAAAGACGATGAAATGAAGAGGTTGGAATGTGACCGATCGCGAGGTAGGGAGAGAGTGGGTGAATTTGATTCATCAATCTGGTTCGTCCGTCCTCGATCTAATGCCCGCAAATTTGATTATTTTATATTCTTTCCGTTTCACAATGTAAGTCATTCTAGCATTTCCCACATTCATATTGATGTTAATGAATCTAGACATATATATATATGTCTAGATTCATTAACATCAATATGAATGTGGGAAATGCTAGAATGACTTACATTGTGAAACGAAGGAAGTACTAGCGTATGTGATGTTACATGATAGCTGCTTGATTCTGCCATCTCATAAATCATATGTAATGTCCAGTTCATCCCGTGGGAAACACACGTGTTTTTGTTAACTTTTTATTGGAGACTAGGCCCTGTTGTTGCTTATTTCAGAATAACAAAACCTGTTCAAACAATTGGCAAATATTTGTCGAGGCCCTAAGATGTCTGTCAGCATCTACTTAGCTGTGCTTCTTATAGGATCGAATATGGTATTTCCCACCTTAAAAGCTAGCCAATAACTACCAGACTTAGCAGCTACCATGTAGGCACGAAACCCACAGGAAAATACGTTTTACCGTCAGAGATTATTAACCTGTAGAAAAATGACCATGGAGAAATTCCATTTTCCTTGTAGTTTTCCCTACAGAAAAACAATGAGATGAGGGATTCCCCACTTATGTATTACTCCAGGTCCTCTGTGCCCTTCCACAACTAATATGGGACTATTCAACACTTCTTTTCTGAGAATCAACAAACATATTCGATACCCTACCGAATTTCGCCGTTGTTATTTTGAAAAAATAATAATCAAATGCTAGTTAACTGTTCTTATTGAAGTTGCATGGCACATTAGATGGTTTAATTATAGTATAGCTAAATGCTAGCTACAATAATTGACATGCACATATATAATCATCTACAACCAATGTAGTAGCTCATCTATACAATAGTTATAAATATATATACTTACGCCATTAGTACATGGCACACCTCATTGTTGTCTCACAAAGTGTGTGTTACAGCCGAGGCCTGTGTTGTAGCCAGGTACAAATTTGTTGCCCGTTTCTCTTCTCTTCAACTTATCACAAATATGATATGCAATTCTTATAGTCCGCTTTTACATACTTGCTCTAACAACAAACATTTTGATCAACTACAAATGTAAAATCAGCAAAGAAAACATTTAAATCCTAAAATGTGAAATAGGTATAGGTTGGCCACATAAAGTGAGAGACTGGGAGTTACTCTAAGGAAAATCTGTTAAGCCTATGTTTGGTTGGAGGGAATTGTTAGGAGAGAATAAAAGTTTGAGAGGTGGGAACTGTTAAGTTTACTATCTATTGGTTAGTAGGCATAGGAGTTTTAGAAGGTATTTAGAAGTGAAGTTTAAGAGCAAATGTATAACTTTTTAATAATTAGGTAGGAGGAGAGAATAAAAGTTTGAGAGCTATTTAGAAGTGAAGTTTAAGAGCAGATTCTACCTTTTCAATTAGGTAGGGGTGGTAGTTAGCAGGGAATTTCCATGACGAATTAATCTAAGCCATACATTATTACTTATAATTCAACTCCCACCCGAATTTTTCATAATTCTCGTTTGTATTACCAGACAAGGGATGACGGGGAGTAAAACTAAAACTCCGATGACCAATCACTCCACCAACTCCCTCGTCTAAGAGCATGCCGAAGAGAAGTCTAAAAATTCATCCCAAAATTATGATATTGGGATTCCAAATCATATTTTAAGATCGATAAAATTGATTTTTCTCTCCGACAAATATATCAAAACTGACTCTTAATAACAAAAAGTGAGCTCATTCTACCAACAAAAACAAAAATCCATCTCCCCTCTCATGGGCGCACGCCACATGTTTTTCTTCCCCCCTCCCATAGGGGAACACAGTAGGATTGGGAGCGAACATATCCCTTAGTAGAAGTAGAGGGCGAAAATTCCAGAGTTGGGGATTCCAAGTTCTGCTTTCTATATATGGGTACTTTTGGATTTGATATTTTCCACCAGAGATCAAATAATTTGGTATTGAGGTTGATGTCCTCTTACTAAAAGTTGCCAAACGCACGCTAAGATTAAGTACTTCCCCAATGGGTAGTAGTAATATTAACACCGTGAACTACCAATGCTGCAGTTGAACAAACATTCCTTACTTTTTTAGCAGCATGCACTTGCACGCCATCAATTTTAATTTCCACTGTGATGCGTAAGTAACATGCAGCAACACTTAGCAGCACTGTATATATAAAGCACAACACAGTGGTACTAATCCATCAAATTAAAGCAGTGCGAAAAGTTATAGCTATAGCTTGTCTATCTATCCCTAAAAGACACAATTGTCTGCCTGTACGTCTAGCTAGCTCTAGTTACTAGACTATGGCAATGGAGATGATGACCAACACCACCATCGTGCGGCTGCCCGCGTACATGCGGGAGGCGAACAAAGGCCTCTTTGAGCCTAGGGTGATCTCCATTGGCCCCTATCACCGCAGCAACGAGAGCACCCACGACATGGAAGCTTACAAGGAGCGCTTCCTCCGGCAGTGTTTTGCCCCGCCTCTAGGTCATATGAATCTTGAACAATGCATTCAAGACATTGCTCGTAATTCTCTTGCAGAAGCTCTCGAGAATTATAGTGGCAATGTTGGCGACTACACCGCGGAGATGCTCACCCTGGACGGGTGCTTCATCATTGAGCTCCTCATCCGGTGGAACATGGGAAGACTCAACCATGACAGTTACGTGCGGTCGATGCGGAACAGCATATACTACGACCTCCTCCTGGTCGATAACCAGATACCTTTCTTCATTCTCTCTAGGCTTTTTCACAAGTTGAAGGGGGATGAAGAGCTCGACAACGCCGATGTTGAGAATGAGTTGCTCACACTTGCTAAGAAATTCTTCAACCACGAGGGTCAATTCTCTTGGGCTAAGTCTCCAGGCCTGTTAGATCTTTCTAATGCAAGTGAGGTTCGTCATTTGCTTGACCTTCAGTACAAGCTTATCATCAGCACCAATGACACGACGATTAGTATTGACCAGACGGACAATAGTTACCTGCGAGGAATCCCTGGGGCAAATGAGCTCGAAGACTATGGTGTTAAATTCTACCAGGATGAGGATGAACACACCAAAATGTTTGACGTGAAATTTGAGGGTACAAACATGATGATCCCTCGCTTTGAAATCAACTTTGGCTCCAAGATACTATTGGCAAACCTCTTCGCTTATGACCAATCAAGGGACAACGTACGACCTCATCAAGGGGACCAAACTGAGGACCAACCGGACAACACAGTTGGACTCGTGACGAGCTATGTGGTGCTCATGAACGCTCTCATCAACACCAAACGTGACGTCATGGTTCTCCAGCGTGAGGGCATCCTCGACAACCTGCTGTCAAGTGAGGAAGAGGTAGCATCCTTCTTCAACAATCTCGGCAGGTGTGCCTTGGTGGATGTGACAAAGCATCACTACACTACCATGTTCAACAATGTGAACAGGTACTGTAGGAACCCATTCAGTCTTGGAAGGCACTTAGTGATCTTACGCAGGAAGCATTTCAGCAACCCGTGGACTTTCTTCTCTCTGGTGGGTGCACTTATGCTCCTAGGCTTTTCATTCACCTCCATGCTCTTCACCATCCTCAAGTATAAACATCGCTAGACACTAGCGTTACACCTCACGTGTTCAGTGTTCTCACGTTATTTTATGATCTCGCACCAAATGAATATGTGACCGTGCTATCTATTTATGTTATTACTATAATATTTTGTATAATGTCACCAAAAAATATCGTTCCATCAGGAGACAGAAGGATCTAAAAAATCAGTGGCCAACCACTCGTACACATGAGTGGATATAGGAAGAATCCAATCGAGATGACTACTTGGTTAATCTGTTCTCTCATGTAATTTTTTTTTTCATTTCATACATTCCCTGATCATGTTACTTCTTTTAGTTTGTAATCCTTGTGTGTGGATTTTATTTCCTGCCTTAATTCCTGTCATGTTTGTACTTCTACTTGTGTAAAAGTTGTTCCCCATCTTTATCATGAATAAAATCTGTGTTACTGTCGTGTACTGTTTTGCAAGAGCACTTATCTCCCTAAATATTTTTTGAGGGGTTCACTGCACTACACAAATCCTATATACTTATATAGTTCATCCCCACTAAGTGTAGTTAATGTTATTTCTCTCTTATCTCATTAAGCCACATCATCCCAATTATTTCTAGCCTTTGAATGATAAATTTATGGTCTAAATTGTCTCTTCTTTCTTCTCTTATAAAACATGTAATCCCAATTATTTTTGGGCCCAAAATTGTATCAAATTATTTTAGTTTTGATAATCAAATTACATTTTATTTGTACATATTATGCAAATTAATTTTCCGCAGCAACGCGGTGGGGTATTCATCTAGTTACAAATACAAACAAGCTCAGTTAACATTCTCCTTATTTTTTCTCCATGTATATATAAGTCATGTTTCATTGAATTTTTGTGAGGTGGTGGATGGCGTGGTAAAGTACATTACAAAATATTACCAGAAATATAATGTATCTGTTTTTTTTTTGTCTTTTACGGTAACTTTTACAAGTGGTATATATAGTACATACAACAGTATAGTTAATAAATCCAACCACTCATTAACAGGGTAATTTGGGCCTTTAATCCGACAACGATATTAGGCTATTCTAGGGTTAGGGTGTGTTTGCAAGAGGAAGTTGGGAACCTATCTCACACGGAAAATGAAACGATCCATTAGCGCGTGATAATTAAGTATTAGCTATTTTTTTTAAAAAAATAGATTAATTTAAATTTTTTAAGCAACTTTCATATAGAAACTTTTTGCAAAAAACGCACCGTTTAGTAGTTTGAAAAATGTACGTGTAGAAAACGAGGGAGTTGGGTTGGGAAGCAAGAGGTCCGAACACACCTAGCAGTTTGACATGCTCCTTCCATCCACTCGGCCTCTTGGGACTAGCTCCGCTACCGCCACTTCACTGCCAGCTATAGCAGTTGCGAAATTTGGCCCATACGAACTCCTAAATTCGGCCTAAACATGTGCAAATTTCACCCGAAAATGTTGCTGCGTGGATATATATTATGACAGCGTGCGGCGCCGCTGGCCTCCTCCTCCATCGCTGCTCGCCGCGGCCAGGCTTGGGAGCAGCGGATATGCCGCCGACGGCGCTCCCGGGCCTAGGGCGGCCAGATCACGTGGCGGCGGTCCCCAGGTGGCTCGGCGATGGCGTGCGGCTGCGTCGACGGCTTGCAGCGGCGGCCCCGGGGTGGCTTGGCGACGGCGTGCCACAGCGTCGACGGCTTGCGCAGCGCCAGCCTTCTCCGCCGCGGCAGGCCTAGTACGGCTCGGTGGCAGCGGTGCAGCGACGACGGCGGAGGCGTCAGCTGCGTCATTCGTGAGCCTGAGTTCTTGAGCACCGAGGTAATGGTCAGCCTGCTCCCCTTTGATCGGGTCTCATCCTTCGCGAGCCTAAGTTCTTGAGCATAGAGGAATGAACAGCAGCAGTACTTGGTTTGGCTGGGTTGAGAGCAGATCTTGGAATTGCATGATTTGTAGAGGGATGGGGAGCAACAGTCTCATCCATTTTGCTATGCCTGAGTGCCTGACTCAACTTTCTATGCCTAATCCAACAATCTTGCTATGTAGAAGTCTTACTGTTTTGCTATGGGTTACATTATGATTTTATTGTGCCTAACTCATGAATTTTGCTATGCCTATACCTTAGTTAATTTCATGAATAATATGCTATTGCAAGCACTAATTGAGATGTGGTCAGATCCAAGGCGCAAAGGTATAGACTTGGAATGTTGTTGAAATCATGATACTGTTCCAAAATCTTACTACTTTATGTTTAAGATCCATGTATTATATATGTAGTCGTGCTTACATGGTATTGCCTACTATAAGATCCATATATTATGTATGTTTAAGATCCATGCTGCATTTGATTTCGTTTAGTTCTACACGTTCTTTCTCTTCTCTTCAATTCTCAACTTATGCTTTGTAGGTGTTGATCCGACCATGTTGGTTGTCTACTCCAATAGGTGATGGTAAGAGCAGATGAGAATGGTGAAGGTAAAGCTGGCCTAGGTGAGACCTATGCAATTCATTCTTCAATAATCCGAAACTTCTTGTGTTGTTTTTTCTTAATCCTGGTCACATGAACATATAGCATTTTTATCCATTAAAGGGGAAATTTAAGTCTAGTAGTTAGCAGTCATTTTGTCATGCGATTTAAAGTCAGTTTTGTGGTTTTGTTTGAAGAAGAGTACTTAGCAGTTACTTGCTAAAATCGACTCTGTTATGCATAGTATTAAAGTAGAATTGGTATATGGATGGTTTTTGTTCAACGTTAGTACAAAACTAGTAAAGCTCAGGGGATAAGAGAGCTGTTGACGCAGGAAAGTTGTGTGTTGCGCAATTAACAGGTGTCGGTTTAAATTTAAATTTATGTTCTATAAACTGGGGCTTAATTCCTAAATTTTGTTGTCTCACAGATGCCTAAGAGGACTACATTTGAGGTTGTTGCAGAGTATGGTTGGCTGAGTTGGACATTGATTTTTTGCTGAGTTACATGTGGGTGGAACTAGTGTGGACTTAGTGAATCTAGTTTGCTCTTGTGGTCAGGGGCGCAGCTGTGGGGGGTGCCGGAGGGGGCCAACACCCCCTATCCGAACCATCCCCACACCCCCTCCTCTCATTCCTGTTGTTGTATGGCTGTACTTACAATGTTACTTCTAAAAAAACATTAGCAAGAAACATGATTACAAATTTAGTTTATGATTTCTCATCTTTTTTCAAAGTAAAATAGAAGATACTTATTTGTGTGATTATTCAGTAGTTTAGATTGAAAGGATTTAGCAATAGAGCCTAGTTCCAAAATGTAAAGGACTAGTTTACGCATTGATTTTTATTGATGGTGACTATTTGGTCTCCTTTGCTATCTTTTGAGATTAGCGGGGTATGGAGTGGTTGTTCGTTCTTATAGCTTATCCTCACCCCACACCCCCCTAATATCAAATCCTGGCTTCACCACTGCTTGTGGTTGTATTTGGTAAGTTAACCTAGGAACTTATTTTGATATCTAGGATTTAGTGAAGATGTACTAAACTTATTATTTTGCTATGGTCTATACAGAGATCACCTGTATATGTGAATGAGCTTTGATTGTATGAGACTAGGCTTTACCTGTATGCGGCTGGGATGATAAATGGACTTGTGCTATATTGAATAATAATTGGGCTTATATATATTATGATATATGGGTTCTTTACATCTCGAGCTTATATGGGCTTTTGTAATGGGCTTATATGGTCATTCCTCTATCTTATCGGACCTACAATTATGCTTAGCCCATAAACATATTGCTCCATACATGGACCTTAACAGCCCATAAGAAATTTCATGATGATTCAGGTTGTCACAATTAACATGCCATGTCAGCTCCATGTGGCATTGTACTACAATTTTATGATGTTTCTTGTCCTACATGGAAACTGCATAGTCATCCAGGCTTTGTGATTTGTGACGTTTTCCGGCTTCATAATGACGAACATGAGCGTCATAACTCAATGACGAAAGAAGGATCGTCACTAGTTTAATGATGAAAAGATATGATTTTGTCACAGAACATGATTAGAGACACATGATAGGTGACGATTGACTTTTGATCACGCGATCGTCATAGAATTTGAAATGTGACATATTTTGTAGTTTTTGTGACATAAATGAAACGCTATCATAAGATCTTTTGTAGTGTACACACATGCTAAATCATCATTTTCAAATATTTCAATCCAAATCATTTCATCATTTCTCCAATATCTAATATATAGCCCGTACTAAAGCGCGGGGCATGGCAGCTCGGGATCTTGGGGTTCCTGGCCCAACTACCCTAGGGAGAAAGCCTGCTGGGGAAACTTCCACGGGATAAACTGTGCCTTTGGAAGCCCGCGAGGAGGGGAAAACCTGGGCCAATCAACGTCGTTTCCATGGGAAACAATCCTGGCCTCACAGGGTCGGAAATATTTTCTCCGTCGCTTCCTCGGTTGGTTCCTCCACCTCCTGCCCTCTCATAAAGTCGCAAGGCCATCACCGCCTCTCCTCTGGCGAGACGCCACTACTGCCGCCATGCCTTCCCCTCTGGTGAGATGCATGCTACCTCCGCGCTTCTCCCTCTCCTGAGACGCCACTGCCAAGTCTCCCTTCTTGATACCCCCTCGCGATTTCAACTACTGTCCTCTTCTGTTCCAAATTGTTTGTGAATTTTCTGAACTTTTATTGAATTCTGTATGTATTTTCCATATGCACACTTAAATATCCCGAAAAAAATGTTGATATTCTGAATTTTCTATGAACTTTCAGATTTCTTTGTCACCTGATTTTTTCCTGCTAATTAGTTATTCTAATTTTTGTTTTACTATACTACAAGGCATTTCTATCATGCGAGAAATCAGTGGGTTTCCTGGGAAGCTAGGTCGTGCGAGCAATCCAAATGACGCAGTGGATTTTCCCTGGAAGCGGAGGGGCTTCATATGTCACAGGGAAAATCCCTGTGGGGGAGCTATTTCCCTCGGTTTTTTTATTTCCCCTTAGCTCCCAAAGGAGTCCTAAAGAGACGATGCGAATATGTGATGTGAACTACCCAACGTCAAATACAAAATACTGGAGAGAGTAAAAATAGTGAAAGAGGTTGTCGGGTGATGTTTCTTGAGCCTCTAGGTTTAGTAAACTAGGTCAAATCACGCGCGTTGTTGTCAGAGTTTCATATGATAATAGTAGAAAAAATAATGTGTAAAATAGCTAGACGATATGAGCTTATATAATTTGCTTATCTAATCAATTATTTCAAATGCTATAAATCATTAGGTTTATGATAATTTAAATAATATGTAAATTGATGATCCAAATATAAAAATAAGGTGGTATGAGTTTAGGAGAGAAGGAAAAATGAACAAGACAATTTGGCCCATGGATTAATAATAACAATTGATGTGGTGTGGTTTAATGACAGAAGAAACATTAAGTAAGTAAGGAAGAACTATTTGGATATATATATATATATATATATATATATATATATATATATATATATATTAAATTTGTTTGGTGCTCCATGGTGCCCGGGCACCATGGTTGAAATTGAGTATATACCCAATTCAAATGAGTATGAAACTTTTTCAAATATTTAGGTATTAACATTAACTACTTTACTAACTAGTTCAAAGCAAGTTTGAACTGAATTTGAACTTGTTTTTGTTAGATTTTGATTCTAGGTATATAGCATCCAAATATATAATTAGTTAGTTATGTAATCATGGATTGTGAAATAAAGTTAAATTTGAGTTATTTGTTGATAGGTATAGGTATGAATCGAATTCTTATAACTAGGTATATACTCACAATTTGAAAATTTTAAAAAATTTAAGTGATTTTGTGCATTTGATACCATGGTGCCCCATATGAGTGTCATATATATATATATATGATATATGATATAATAAAAAAATAATGGATATGTATATAGTAAAATACTATGTAAGTTATGGGGGATAATGATTCAACATTTTTACATTTTAAAGCTCTGAAACATAGTAAAGTATTCATAATATAGCATGTAAGAATGAGGTTTAATATGATGGTGTGATATTTTTGTATTTTGAGTTTTAGAATGTAGTGCGCTGTAATAACTATATAAAAATAATATATGTTAGGGGATCAATGACCACACTCTGTTTTTTCTTTAAAGGAAAAGACCGCACTCTGTTTTCACTCTTTGAATCAGTTTGTTTTACACACAAAAAAACACACACACCTGGTTTTGCTTCTTTTCAATTGAAAGTAACATCGTATGTGACGCCCTGTCGTTATTTTCAAGGCCATGTTTAGTTGTTTTGGAAAAAAAAATTGACGTATACGGACACACATTTGAAATATTAAACGTAGACTAATAACAAAACAAATTATAGATTCCGCATGTAAACTGCGAGATGAATCTATTAAGCCTAATTAATCCATCATTAGCAAATGTTTATTGTAGTACCACATTATCAAATCATGGCGTAATTAGGCTCAAAAGATTCGTCTCGCAATTTATATGTAAACTGTGCAATTGGCTTTTTTTTTCCACATTTAATGCTCCATGCATGTGTCTAAACATTTGATGTGACGGAAAAGTTGGAAGTTTGAATGGAACTAAACACAGCCCAATTCAATCACTTTCTATGCTTACTGTAGACAAGTTACATTAAGCATTTTTAATCAAAGCAAAACTGGCAAATTCTCATTCAAATCCTAAAATACAAAGTTGTGCAAGTTGACTGCACCAAGTGGGAGGCAAGGAGTTGCTCTATGAGGGAAATCCGTTGACCTTAAGATCAAGTATTTCCTCAACAGTAGTAATAAATACAAAAAACTACAGGTCCTGCAGCTGGGTAAACATTTCCTTAACTGATTTAAACTTAAACTAAATTTAGCAACACTTGCACGCCATCAATTTTAATTTCTGCTGTGATGTGTATGACTACGTAAGTAACATGCCGCTAGCCATATATCACGTATCACCATGTATATGTGATAACTATATATATAAGGCACCATGCACTAGTATTAATCCATCAAGTTATACAAGAAATACACAGTCGTTTATAAAAAAATACAAGAAATACACAAGTTCTACGATTGTCTTGTCTGCCGCTATTGCTATGGAGATCAACAACTTGGTGCAGCTCCCGACATACATGCGGGAGGCCAATAGGGGTTTGTTCGAGCCTAGAGTGGTCTCCATCGGCCCCTATCACCATGGCAACAAGAGCACCAGCAATATGGAAGTTCACAAGAACCGATTCTGCCGTAGCTTCTTGCAGCGGCTGGGCAATGTGAGCCATCAAGATGCAATTGACCACTGTATCGAAGGAGCTTTCCGGTGCTACAGCGGCAATGTTGGCTTGTACACCGCGGACATGCTCACGCGTGACGGGTGCTTCATCGTCGAGCTCCTCCTCCAGTGGAGAGAGGGAGACCATGCCCATGTCGACAATCACATGCAGTTGATGTCGAACAGCATATACTACGACCTCCTCCTGGTCGATAACCAAATACCGTTCTTCGTTCTCGACAGGCTTTTCAATGAATTCAGGAGGCACATGGGTGCAAATCCTGTCTTCAACAATGACTCCCAGTTGGTTGACCTAGTAACCGAATTCTTCAACAACAGGCAGGGTCAGTTTTCCTGGGCTAATTTGGACCAGTTGAGGCTGCCAGATGCGACGAATCAGCAGATTCGTCATTTGCTTGATCTTCAGTACAAGCTTGTCATCAACAACAACATGGGGATTGAACCAAATAATCGTAATTGTCCATTTAGCCTGTGCATCAACATCTGTCCCAATACGATTGTGCCACGAGGAATCCCAGCGGCAAGCGAGCTACAAGACAACGGTGTGAGATTCCGAGTGAGGGGATTGAGTGAGCAGGTCAAAATGTTTGACGCGACATTTCAGGGTAAGATCATTAGGATCCCTCGTTTTCAGATAAATTTCGGCTCCAAGATCCTACTGGCAAACCTCTTCGCTTACGATCAAATCAAGGGAGAACCAGCTGACAACGGTGCTGCTGTCGGACCTGTGACAAGCTACGTGGTGCTCATGAACGCGCTCATCAACACCAGAGAAGACGTCGCGGTTCTCCAGAGGAAGGGCATCCTGGACAACCTGCTGTCGAACGAGGACGAGGTGGCCTCCTTCTTCAACGAGCTCGGCAGGTGTGCGTTGGTGGATGTGAGCAATCACCGGTACACTAGCATGTTCGAAGATGTCAACAGGTACTGGAGGAATGGGTTTTGCTGCAAGTACTTCGCGATCTGCTGCATGAGGCATTGCAAAAACCCGTTGACTTGCCTCTCGTTACTGGCTGCATTCCTACTCTTGAGCTTTTCTTGTACCTCCATGGTCTTCGCCATTCTCAAGTACTATACACGTGGCTAGCATATGCATTACCACCTCAGACCATTAATTTCATTCCTCCTGAATCAGATGCATGGGAGTGCCAGTGCTAGCGTACGTATTGTGTAGTGTAATTACTGTTAGATAATGTTACCCGGCCACAATAATAGCATTCAAAAATCAGTTGCCGTAATCCTATCCATGAACAAATTAAAGAATCCGATCAAGATATTGCTACTTGGTTCAGCATATTCTCTATGTGCATGTAAAGTTTGTTTTATTTCACATATTTCCTGGTCATGTTCCTGTTTTTAATTTGTAATCCTTGTTTGCGAGTATATTTTTATTTCTGAGTTTCATGTCATGCGCGCATGAATGTGCAAGCATTGTTATGTACGAACTGCTTCTGTAAAAGTTGTTACTATATATGTATGAATTTGTGCTTTTGTGAACTATGGTAGTATTTTGCAAGGGCACTTAGCTCGCGCTAATTAAACTTTTTACGACTCACTTTACCAGAACTAATAAAACAAAATTGCTCACTTAACATTTCTCAATGAACAATTCCAACAAAATCTTTTTATTTCTTGTTTAATTATTTTGAATTTTAAAGTATTCCCCTATCCGATCTACATTTTCAGACCAAAATAGGCTTATTTGGGACCGAATGGATGTGGCCTCCTAAGCCAAGTTAACAAGCACTATTGGGAGGCTACTGCAAATCAGGCACTCGATTTTAAAAATTGTACGTTGTTTCGGTATTTGTAGAAAAATATTTCACCACTAACTTAACACATGTTTCAGACTATTAAAATAATGAAACACGGTTAAATCATGCATCGGAACACTTTGTTCTGAAACACAAAACATAAATAAACTATTAAAAGTTTTTATGTGAACTTATGCTTTTGTAAGAGTTCTCTGTTTCACTCTCATAGACTATTTTGCAAGGGCACTTATTAGCTCCCTAATTAAACATTTTAGGGCTCACTTTAACAGAAACCAAAACAAAATTGCCCACTTAACGGCTGAACCTCTGATTAAATAAAGATAGACATTTGCTTCTCTTCAATCTATTGAACAAGTTAAGCGCTCCCTTCGTCCCGTTCTACTCGCTAAGATTTAAATATATCATATACTATGATATTTGTAGCAACAAAATTATAATCATATAATAATAAATTAATTTATAATAAACTGTTTATGGATCAAATATTTAAAGAGTTAAATATTAAAATACGTGCGCGTCGAGTGAACGGAGGGAGTACTTTACGCAAACTGTTGGTCTCAATTGAGCCGCACGTTCGACCCAATTTACCCAAATTGTTGGGCCGAAATAAAGCAGACTTGTGGACCGGATTGAAGCGTCGTACATTGCTTACGTACAGGCCGAATTTGCTCTTACCATTAGGCTGAACTTACGAAAAATTTCAGGGTGAATTTATTCATCACATATTCAAATGAACAAAAGTATATAGTATATAAAAAAGGGTGTAGTTTTGAACGGAGGGAGTATATTTTTGGGCTGTGCAGACGCCGTGCTCGGCACACTGCTGCGCATGAATGATAGAAAAAAAGGTGGTTGGTGAAAAAAAACTATTCATGCATCTTCCTGCAGCTGACTCCAAGAAAACGATTTCCTTCATACTCCACTACAGCATGCTCACCAAGACCAGTTGTTTTACATTAAGACCATAAACAACCTTGACGACTGCTGAAACATTTTCTTCACTTGTTTTCAAGCCTCTCGTGGGAGAATCGGCATAACAATTCAAATGGTCAAGCAGACGTATTAGAGGGGTTTGGACGACTATCGATCCTACCTACGATTATACAAACCTGTTACATGAATCTTCGATGCAACCTCTCTCTCCTTTGTATATTTCTTTCTTGACTACGTTGAGGGGCTAGATTCCTGAATCAGAACTAAGAAATATTAATGTAATTACGCACGAGATCGCTAATTAGCGATCGATAGCCTGAGACGATCAATTTTTTTTTCGCCATATAGTTTTTTTCTTTTCGAGTAAGTTTATATATCTAAAGTTTACACACCTAAAAATTATAGGTCAAAAGTTTATATACCCGATTCAAATTCGAATTCGGATTCAAATATTTTATATATAGAATATTTCTATACATAAAGTTTATACGTGCATTATTTTCCTCTTTTAGTAAGTTTATACACCTAAAGTTACACATATAAAGTTTATCCACGTAAAGTTTGTAGAGCGAATGTTTATAAGTCAAAAGTTTATATACCCGATTCAAATTCAAATTCGGATTCAAATATTTTATATATAGAATATTTCTATACATAAAATATTTCTATACATAAAGTTTATGCGTGCAAAGTTTACAGTATAAAGTCTATGCACATGAATGAGAGTATTAGATTTTTTAAAATTTTTTTTACTAACTTTGTTTTTTTTTTAAATTTATGATGAAAAGAGAGAAGGGACTGGAGTATAGTGGAGAGGGGCGGGTTGATCGTAGGGAGCGATCACCCGCCCATTGGGGGCGCCCAATTACGCAGCAGCTGAGTGGTCGACCAAGTCATCAATCGGTCCTGCATTTTATATTACCTCTATTTTCTAATATATAATACCATTGATTTTTTATAAACGTGTAATCATTTGGCTCCCGATAAAAAAAAGTTTAACCATTTATCTTATTCAATTTTTTTTCAAACATAAAAAAATTTAAGCTGTGCTTAAAGAACATTTGATAATAAATTAAGTCACAATAAAATAAATAATAATTACATATTTTTAAATAAGACAAATGGTTAAACGTATCTTAAAAAATCAATAACATCATATTGAAAAATGGAGAAGTACTATGGTGCAGACCCAGTATCGCGCGCCCCCTCATTTGATGTTGCTCTCTCCCCGCGTTGGCTCTCCTTTATATACCTTGACAAGCCTAGAGGCGAGAGGCTAGTGGATCTGGACATGCACTTTACCGTCCTTTATTTGCTATATAAATTTATTGGATTTTTTGAAACAAATATGAACTTGTTGGAAAATCACATAGACTTCCACAAAGTGCACTGCTGGCTAGTACAAGGATATATGTGTACTTGTGACCAATAATATAACAATGGGCCTGTTAGGTGTGACTAGATAACAGCCAGCAGCTACAGTAGCACCATATAATTTTTACCATAGTCGCAGCAGCAGCGCCGCACAACCACTGCAATTGGACAGCCGAACACACCCAATGTAACCCATGGAGACAAGTACAGCCATGTCACTCAATTACTGTAACAGTAAAACAACATGCACCTCACCTTCATCCGAAGAGATCAGAAATAGCACCTAATAAGCTCATCAACGACACATGTGACATATATTCTTGTTCAACTCTATGTTCTACATCCGCTCCAGCATGGTTGATGCCCCTTTGATTCAAAAGAAAATTCATAGTAATTTTAGAGGATTTCACTTTTATATGATTTTTTTTCTACATAGCCCTTTGAATGAAAGGAATGAACCTCATGGAATCCTATGAAATTCCAATGGAATGCCTCTTTCCACGTAAGTTTTGGAGAAAATTTAACAAGAGGTAGAACCTCATGGAAAGAATCCTTTGAGTCTTTATCTCTTTTCAAATTTCTGTGTTTTTCTTGCGGCCCGATCAAACAATCATTCATATGTTTTTTCTATGTGTTCTAATCATTTGTTTTATACTTGTATTTCTATCGGAATCCCATATTTTTTCTATTCTTTTTTTTTCATTCCTGTGATTTAAAATAGCCACAAGTCTTGGGCCAAGAACATGTCGCCATCAAGGTACTACGTACCTGACTCATCACATACTCAGGCCCTGTTTATTTCGCGAAAAGAAAATTTTTGGGTGACGTTTCACCGGATGTCGGAAGGAGTTTTCGGACACGAATGAAAAAACTAATTAAGGCTAATTAATCTGTCATTAACATATATGGGATACTATATTACTTATGGCTAATCATGGACTAATTAGGCTCAAAAAATTTGTCTCGAGATTTCCATGCAAACTATGCAATTAGTTTTTTCTTTTGATCTATATTTAATGCTTAATGCATGTGTCAAAGATTCGATGTGATGTTTTTGGGAAAAAAATTGGGAACCGGGCAGTGTTCCGTGCACTGGAAGCATGGTCCCACACACAGTAATCTAACGACGTGGTGTGAGGCGGACCTCATTGCGTTAACTGACGTGAGAAGTGGCCGTTGCGAGACACCTTTTCCGTCTGGAGGCAGCGCATCCAATGCGCTTTCCCTTTCTTCCTCCTCTCGCTGCTGCTCTCCCAGTGCTTCGGCGGTCGTCGATGCGACCCAGGCCTGTGGCGGAGAATCGATTCCCCTCGCCTGCAGCCCCCATGCTCCCCCATCGATTCTCGCTCGCGTGTCATCTTGCGGCAACGGTCAGGTAAATGTGCCGGAAACGGGCGGAAGTGGAGAAGCCACACTGCTCTCGAGTTGTCTACGTCATCCTCGAGGGCGGTAAAAGCCGGCCGGCGTGCTCGATGTGTGCATCACGCATCGGCGCTCGTCAGGCCGCCCAGCTTTGGCAGACTGGCCATGTTTGTGCTCATACTCTCGGCCTCTCGGGTGACACAGCGCTGGCGTGAAGAGTCGCATCAAGGCGTCCAAGCTGGCGGAGTTGAGGAGCCACCTCTATTTGAGGCCGAGTGTGTGCATGGTCGGATAGAGATGAGAGCGAAGAAGCGGAAGCGAGAGCGGGAGCTCTTGCGGATCGCATTGGAGGGGGCGATTGTTGAATCCCCTCAAGCCGTGCCGATCTCTGTCCGTGGCGCCGATCTGGAGTCCGGCGAGGGTTCCTCCGACTCTGTCACCTCCGACGCTGGCAGCGCTAAGGCTGCAGCTGACGACGTGGTTCATATCGCGCATGCCCTTTGTAAGGTTTGCGCCAAGTCTCCTAAAGCCGTCAACGAGTTTGTTCGAAGAGTGAGCCCTGCCACCGTCGGCCGTTCAATTGATTGGGACCTCGTCCGCGACAACGACTCATCGAAGGTATTGTGGCTTGTCTACATTTTTT